CAAACTCTGGAACTCACTCCCACCCGACATCCGAAATATTGACTCTCTTCCTATATTCAAAACTCATCTTAAAACCCACCTATTTAAAATTGCATATACAGTTTAAACTCATCGCTTTTATTATTTATAATTTTATCTGTGGTTTTATTGCTCTTTTGATTGTAAAGTGTCCTTGGGTATTTTGAAAGGCGCTTATAAATAAAATGTATTATTATTATTATTATTATTATTATTATTATTATATTTTTAATGCCTTAGTGTGAAGCAACTCAGCATTAGTATTTCATTAGTATTTATTCTTGTGTTTAAGGCATCCCAAGCCTGGCGTAAAAACAAGATGGACGAGTCGAAACACGAGATCCATTCTCAGGTGGATGCGATTACAGCGGGCACTGCCTCCATGGTTAACCTCACAGCAGGTAAAGCTTTTCAGAACGGACATCATGGTCAAGATGTTGTAGTCGTTGTGTGTTAGTCCTTTGGGTGGAGCTACTTTCCACAGTCAGAGTTATCACCGTGCAATAAAATGGTTTTAAGGTGTTGAATCAATGTCAGAAACCTAAACTAGAATTAGGAACAATTGTGAAGTCCAGAATAATAAAGGAACAATTCATCCATTCGCATTTGCCATATGAACGGCTCCAAAGTTTGTACTGCGCTTTATAGCCCGCAGGAAAGTCAAACGATCCTTAATTTTCTCGACTCCACCTCACATCTGGACCAGATAGTTTCCATTTTTGATAATCACATCTGTACCAGATAGTATCAAAAATGGAAACCGTCGCATTTGGTTTGAATAGTGTTTGCTTATTTCGCTTCTAGAGACTAGATATAGCACATTCTTTTTTTATTAAAGAGGACGCTTTTCAGGTTTACACACCCAACGATGCAAATTTAAGTATTTATTTCAATCTTGTTTGCCTTGAATCCATTGTGTTGACCTGCAAACTTTAATTTTCCCACCTTGGCGGACGTCTGCACAATGAATGACTCGAGCCACTCTAAAGTTGGCTCGGAACAGTGGAGGCGGATCCCATCTACTCAAAATTATTCCAATTGTGAGAAATAGAGTTTGATCCGTGTACCTGTCCACAGGTGACCCAGCAGAGACAGACTACACAGCAGTGGGCTGTGCTGTGACCACCATCTCCTCCAACCTCACGGAGATGTCAAAGGGTGTCAAACTGTTGGCAGCACTCATGGAGGATGAAGGAGGAAATGGACAGCAGCTGCTAGGTGCTGCCAAAAACCTGGCTTGTGCTGTCTCTGACATGCTGAAGACTGCGCAGCCAGCAAACACAGAGGTATACACCATATGAGATCAGTCAATGGTTTTCCGATGAAAGGAACCTGAAAAAATAGACTAAAGATGCACAATAGCATTTCTCCACCCTGAATCTGGGTACAGTGCTGTGAAATAGTAATTGCCCCCTTCCTGATTTTTGTGTTCTTTGCATATTTGTCACATACAAAGGTTCATCAAACCAATTTTAATGTCACACAGATACGACCCAAGGAAATACAAAATGCAGTTTCTAAATGGCAACTTTATTTATTAAGGTACAAAAAAATCCAAACTGACCTGTCCCGATGTGAAAAAGTAATTGCCTCCCCCTTGTTAAATCACAAAGTAACTGTGACTAACAAAGGTTTGGGGAAAGCTGATTATACAGGCAACACCTGAGCACCATATTTGTTGAATCAAGAAATCACACAAATAGAATCTATCAGACAAAGTGAAGTAGGCTACAAGATCTCAAGAAATAAATGCATCATGCCACAATCCAAAGAAATTTAAGAAGAAATGATTGAAATCTATCAGTTTAGAAAAGGTTGCAAAGCTATTTCCAAGACTTTGGGGCTTTAGCAAACCACTGTCAGAGCCATTAGCCATAAATAGATAAAACAGAAACAGTGTCAAATATTCCCAGGAGTGGTCAGCCAGCAAAAATTACTCCGAGTGCAACGACGACTCATCCGAGAGGTTGGAAACAAAACAAAACATTTTTTCACAACAAAAAAAAAAACCCCACAAAAAAAACCAAACATATTTTTTTCAATTTTCACGTTTTTCTCCCTCCTCCAAAGAAAACATATAGTCAGTAAAAACGACAGAAAACTCCCCAAAAGGTTTTATTTTATTTAATCAAACCGTTAAGATGAATAACCCTATTTCCCTCTTGAAATTAAAGTGCAAAACCTTTGTCTTTAATTAAATACAAACATAAAGGTGGAATAGCCACTTTGTATGGGATTGATAAAGAATAAATGTACCCCCCCCCCCCCACACACACAACTTGGTTTTGAAAGATAAATAGTGCTTACTAGTATCCCACAATATATGGCCAAAACAAACATTTTGGCTAAGGTGCAGGACCTACCTGAGGTCTGTGATTGTCAACCATCCCCTGGAACTCTGCTGATTTTCTGATGAGCATTTTTATCCAAATGGGGTGAGGCAACTTCAGTAATGTACTTGCGGCGGAATTGCTGAATGCTGAAATGAGTTTGCTGTTGCAATGCTCTTTAAACAAACTTAGCGGCGTGCAGACACTCGTTCCACCTCTGTCGGCGAAACATTTACACTAGCAAAGTGGACAAAAAAGAAAAAAAAAACTTTTATTTATTTATTTATTTATGTATTTATTTATTTTTTAAATCGTCCACAATGAACAAAATCTGACGAATTAAAAAAGAAAAACATGAATAAATCAATCGTGCTAGTCAATAGACAATCGTCGGGAAGCAGACGAGTATCTGCAGTTTGTATTATTATTATTATTTTTTTTGATCCGCAGCAGGATTCAACCCTCTGGTTCCAAACCTTTTGGATGAAATACTGCCACGCCTATCCTGCTAACTCTATCTGTCCTGCTACTTACGATGTCAAAATGACTTGTCTTTGAAACATTAAATCTGATGGTTACGCTTTTACAAAGTAAAGGGTATCAGTAATGGATTGTGTTTTTTTTCTCTCAATAAATTTTGTCAATAATATGGACAAACGGCTTTGGTTTTTAGCCTCGTCAGAATCTACTGCAAGCTGCGGGAAATGTGGGTCAGGCCAGTGGAGAGCTCCTGTCACACATCGGAGAGACGGACACTGATCCACAGTTCCAGGTATGTGTACTGGTACTCTAAATGGGAGTTCTAATTCTGATATTTCTTTATAATTATTTTACATGAATACTCATAAGTCTGAGGGCCTATTAAAAGTCTGATCCAAAAATAATTAATAGTTTCCAAATTACCACAATACATTGGCGACACTGACTTTTACAAGTACAGTATTTCTGAAAAGAACCTTTAAATCTCACTTAAAGGTCATCGTGAATATGTTCGCTCTTAAGTTAAGAAAATGTTGAGATTTTGCAAAGTAAGGTTCCTGTGGTTTTGCTTTACAGGTATATACCGGTACACTGTTTTCTGTCTTTTTTTTTTCTCTTCTATATTTGACAGTTTCTAGGTAAAGGATCTTTCAGGTCTGCCAGATGGAGAGTGCCTTCTTATTGTCAAATGATGGTAACAAATGTCTGCTGAAGACATTTAACGATGAAATGCCAATCAAAGCAATCTATTAATTCATTTCATAATCCATGTCCGGTGATCATCCTGACAAACTGTCAATCCAAACTGATTTCTACTAAACTGTAGGGTGAAAATATTGCGCTGTTAAAATTAACCCATTCTCACATATTTTGTATGGTCCTGGGTGGCATCTGAGGCGGGTGTGTATTTTCATTCATTTGTCTTGCCAGTCCTACTTCTGGTTTAATACATAATCTTGCACTTTCTGTAAAACACACAAATATTTCTCAATTGGAATTGAAAACGTGGTTCGGGTAAAGACTATTGCTCGCTATAATATACAGCTTCAGTGATTAAGTATTGGGAAGGAAACCCGAGATGTATGTTTTGAAGGTATTGGCTTTCTTAGTCGATCATTGCCAAGATTATAAATGGGTGAAAAGAAATTTTGGGGGGAAAAAAAAATAAGAAAAGAAAATTAAGTCAACATTTCATCATGATACCTTTTAAATCTTATGAATCATCATTGTAATATTTCAACATTCCCTGGGGGGTTTGGAGAGATTAGCTAATCCAATATTAAATCAATCACCCATCTCAAAATCGTTACTCTGTCTTAATTGTCTTTTCTGATTTCTGATTTAATTTCCAAACCCAATTACGGTATTTGAATGTCAAGATATCATAGCAAACCTTTCCTCTCACCCTGCTCAATGTGCATGTTTGCCCTTTGCAGGATATGCTGATGCAGCTGGCTAAAGCGGTGGCTAATGCCGCAGCAGCCCTTGTGCTCAAAGCTAAAAACGTGGCCCAGAAGACAGAGGACTCCGTCCAGCAGAACAGAGTTATTGCCGCAGCCACCCAGTGTGCTTTGTCCACGTCTCAGCTGGTGGCCTGCACAAGGGTGAGTTAGACTACCGCCACCGGAAATATTTAGATGGGGTGGGACAACACTTCCATACCTCAATATATTGTATCTTGGTGTACGTATGGCAATATCAGTTATCGCTAGTCTTCCTGACTGACATCCATTTAGAAATCATGGATATAGTTTCACCTCACTTCATTAATGTGCTTTATTTGATGGAAAATATAAAGGTCACTTTTTCCAAGATCTATGAAAAGAAAGATGGAATTTTACCTCAATATTGTGAAAAACCGAGAGAAGAACACATTCTGCATGAAAAATTAAAAACATCCAAGTTACACATGCAATACTGTGGTGAGATTTATATTGATATTTATTCTGGTCACATATCTGTTGATACTTTTAATACTCAATTTCTTGCTCCATGACCCCCCAAATAGTTTCTTACAAACAGCTAAATTGTTCCTCATCAGGTTAAATAGGGCGATGAGAGCTTTTCTAGGATGGTGATAGAATTGAAGTCTTTCTGTTTCTTCTATGATGCTTCTTACACTACCATCTCTCATGTAGGTGGTGGCTCCAACCATCAGCTCGCCAGTTTGCCAGGAACAGCTGATAGAGGCAGGCAAGCTGGTGGCCAAGTCAGTAGAAGGTTGCGTGGATGCCTCGCAGGGGGCCACAAACGATGAGGGACTCCTGAAGCAGGTGGGCGTGGCCGCAACAGGCGTCACCCAGGCATTAAACGAGCTACTTCAGCATATTAAACAGTACGCCAGTGGAGGTCATCCTATTGGACGCCACGGCGAAGCCACCGATCGCATTTTGGATGTCACAGAGAACATCTTCAGCTCAATGGGAAATGCTGGTGGGTGTTTCATGTTTAGTAGGACTCATACACATCATATAGGCTGACATAGCAACATCTGTGCAATAGAATCCAATTTGTACTTTTTTTTTTTTTTTTAAAGCATAAGATTAGTGTTATAATTCTCCCATCCTGGAGAAAGACTGATTCGAACATAAAATTACAAAGTCCAGGCATAGCATGGCATTCATACTCATGATGAGTGTTTGTAAAATTCTGGCCACAGCTGTAGATAGTGTGACATCTCAGCAGCATGACAATGTGTTTCTTACCAGGGAAGATATGCAACATGCATGATTACACAATGTGCAACAGTGTTACATGCTGATAATCCATAATCAAACAAACACAAACGGCATTGGGGAAGTTTCCTGTCGAACAATCAACAAATAGTATCAAAGAAAAAGAAGCGTGGTTAAGTCCACACTACATGAGTGTATCTAATTGTTCTGTACACCAGTAAAGGCTGAAAAGTGACCGACTCTTTGCAATGGAAGCACAGAAAAATGCTTACATACATACATACATGCATGGATTCAATACAATTCAATAATTTTCCCCCCCTCCTGATTTCCGCATTCTTTGCATATTCATCACACACAAAGTTTTCAGTTCATGAAACCAATTTTAATGTCACACAGAGACAGGCCAAGGAATTACAAAATGCAATTTTCAAATGACAATTCAATTTATTAAGGCACAAAAAAATCACAAACCTTTCTGACTCTCTGTGAAAAAGTAATTGCCCCTTGAAACTAATAATGTGTTGTGCCAACCTCAGCAGCAATAGCTGAAATCAAGCATCTGCAATAATTGGTGATGAGTCTTTCACATCGCTGTGGAAGAATTTTGGCCCACTCTTCTTCGCAGAATTGCTTCTTCTCCGCCATATTGGAGGGTTTTTTTTAGCATGAGTTGCCCGTTTAAGGTCACATTACAGCATCTCAATTGGATTCAAATCCAAACTTTGACCTGGCCTCTCGAGAACCTTAATTCAGTTTTTTGTTTTTTGCAGGGTTTTTTTGCAATTCAGTGGTGGACTTGCTGTAGTGGTTTGGATCGTTGTCCTGCTGCATGATCTAAGAGTGCTTTTGCATTTGAGAGCGCAAACTGATGGTTGAATGTTCTCCTTCAGGATTTTCTGGTAGACAGCAGAATTGACCGCAATCACAGCAAGTTGTCTTGGTCCACACATCTTCCAAAAAGTTAAATTTTTGACTCATCATTACACAGAATGCTTCTTCAAAAGTTTTGATGATCATCAAGATGTCTTTTGGCAAATGTGAGACGACCCTATGTGTTCTTTTTGGACAGCTTTGGTTTTCGGCTGGGTCCTCTCCCATGGATGCCATTTTTGGGCAGTGTCTTTCCTATGATAGAACACTGACCTAAACTGAGGCCAATGAAGTCTGGAGTTCTTTGGATGTTGTTCTAGGTTCTTTTGCAACCTCCCGGATGAGTCGTCGTCGCATTCTTGGAGTAATTTTAGCTGGTTGACCACTCCTGAAAATGTTGGCCACTGTTCCCAGTTTTCTCCATGACTCTGGCACTGATTTGCTGGAGCCCCAGAGACATGGAAATGGCTTTGCCCCCTTTTCCAGATTGATAAATTTCAATAACGTTTTTTTTTTCTTCTTGAATTTCTTTGGATTGTGGGATGATGCATTTGTTGTTATTATGTTGTTGTTATTTCACTTTGTCTTCCAGATTCTATTGATGTGACTTCTTGATTCAACAAATGTGCTGCTAGGGTGTGATCTGTGAAATTTTTACTCAGATTTCCCAAACATTTGTTAGTCACAGTTACTTTGTGATCTAGCCAGGGGGTCAATTACTTTTTTACATTGAGCCAGGTAGATTTGGATCGGCACTTCCTGAACTACCTGAAAAGCACCAAAATAAAAGCACATAGCAGAAAAAAATACAATGTAAAGCATGGCAAGAACAGAATTTTAACTGTAGAAAACAAAAAACTTGTCAAAAGTAATAAGCAGATGAACATTTATGTGAGTCCTCTACATACTGGCTGAATTTATGTACCCGGCAATATTCACAATTTTTGGGAAAATCTTACTGCTCATGCAGAAAACATTTATTTCGGGTTAATAGATCTGAAAAAATATACAGGCCAGGACGTTTTGATCTGTTTGTTCGTGCCACTGCATATTCAACAGCTGCAGATTTTAGCTTTTTTACGTTACTGTAACGTTTTCTCTAACAGGTGAGATGGTTCGCCAGGCTCGCATCCTTGCACAGGCCACATCTGATCTGGTCAATGCCATTAAGATGGATGCAGAGGGAGAGTCAGACCTGGAAAATTCACGAAAGCTCCTGTCAGCTGCCAAGCTTCTGGCTGATGCTACTGCCAAGATGGTGGAGGCGGCCAAGGTCTGCATGTATTTTTATAGCATACTTTATGCAGTCTTGTTCTTGTGTTGCTGAAATTAACCGGTTTTGAGGGGTCGTGCTCATGTGCGCAATTTTATACTCTGCCCCTTAAACTGCTCGGCCAATGGCGAATCTGGATTTCGCTCCCATGACGACACAACAGAGCCCTGATTTACACCTTGAGTAGCTTCTTCTACTTGGGGTAGCAGAGTTGGAAAAATGCTGAGCTTGCAGTGATCTAAACAGACAAGAAAAAAGAATAAATGCAAAGCCTAAAAGTTCAACATTTATTTAGCTGTATATCTATGTATAATGTATATGGAAAAAAAATTGAATCAGTCGTATGGCATAAAATGACATTTGTGTGTGTTTCCTTCAGGGCGCTGCAGCAAACCCCGACAGTGAAGAGCAGCAGCAGAGGTTGCGAGAGGCGGCAGAAGGTCTACGTATTGCAACGAATGCTGCGGCGCAGAATGCGATCAAAAAACGTTTGGTCAACAAACTCGAGGTAACTCAAATTCAAAGAAAATGTGTTTGTTTTCATGTCACTCACCCAGGATTATCAACATTTGAGCGTTTGAATAAAATGTTTCCTTACCCCATTGTGCATTTCCACATTTAGTGGCCTCAATTTAATGCCCTTGATACTTTCGACTTGAACTCAAGCTGCAAAATGATTTTCTTCTTTCCTGCTAGAACGCAGCAAGACAAGCAGCTGCAGCAGCTACTCAGACAATAGCTGCAGCCCAGCATGCTGCCTCATCCAACAAGAACCAGGCTGCCCAGCAGCAGCTGGTCCAAAGCTGCAAGGTAAATACCTATAGTATTATTATAAAGTATACCATGCTACTTTTTTTCTTCATCTGTTCTTATTTAACACATTTAATACAACTAGATACCAGAGGTGAATTGTCTTTCTAAAACTTGGAAACCACATGCGGTCAAGTTGCGCAGGATGTGACATCATGCGGGGGGGAAAAATGCAGCTGAAAATGCGTCCTTCTGAAGACCCAGTCTTTGATTTTGGACACAGCCAAAGACTCACTCAGGGGCTGTCATAAGATGACACGTGTACATGCCCGCAAACAAGCTTTCAACGGGCCGCTTTTGGAGGACAGATTACAAAATGTTCCTTCGACTTCCATTTGCTCGCAGCGACTGCGTGAGTAGAGTCAGGTGGTCCATATGAGATAGAAGAATTGTGAAAATGTATCCACTTGTTGTGCTCAGGGCTCATATAAACAAGCGGGCCAATGGCGTATCTCCGTCTGCGTATACAGTAATTGTAATCCTGCAAAAGAATCCCCATTTTTAATAAATATGCCTATAATCGGATTATGTCAATTTTTTTCTGCAATTGTAACGGAATACAGTTGCATTTTGTTAAATTCAGAATCGGTAATTCTGGTTGCTACATGTATTCCGTTACTCTCTAAGCCTGTTATTTATCATACCATCCACCGCCAGGGTTTCACGAAAGTAAATATACACATATAGAGAAACTTACCCAACACACCTGAGAGCGGCCAGCACTAACTGGCAACTAGCTCCACTCCTATCGATACATTTGCTGAGGTCTTTCTTTTTGTGTATGTGTCTCTCAGGTGGTTGCAGAGCAAATTCCTCAGTTGGTTCAAGGAGTCAGAGGCAGCCAGTCTCAGCCTGACAGCCCCAGCGCTCAGTTGGCCCTCATCAGTGCAAGCCAGAACTTCCTGCAGGTATTGCACCACACACAAACAACATGCAAACGCCACACAGGAAGGCCAGAGACGGAATCGAACCCCCGCACCTCTGCACTGTGAGGTCAATGAGCTAACCAGTCGAGCACCGTGCCGCCCTCCGAATTATTCAATAAACATTAATTTGCAACTTTTTGGTTTTCAGCTGAAGGTTGTCACCTCTGTGGGAAGTGTGTTTACATATGAGAGAAAATAATTTCAACCAATGGGGCTAAAGGCATGTCTTTGTTTTGTTGTTTTGTTATGCTTGATCATTCACATAGATCAATTTATGGGAACCGGTCAAAAACAATCATCATTGACTGCGGTTATAGCTTAGATTAGCCAATGAGCCACATTGTACAGTATATGCATATAGACTGAATATCGTTTGCAATTGTTTCTGTTTCAGCCTGGTGCAAAGATGGTCACAGCGTCCAAAGCCACAGTTCCCACCATCAGTGACCAGGCATCTGCCATGCAGCTCAGCCAGTGTGCGAAGAACCTTGCAAGTGCCTTGGCTGAGCTCCGCACCGCCTCACAGAAGGTACCTGATTAAATACAGTGTCTGAAAGGTTTGGATTTGGTTTTAACCCTTTCAGGGACAGCGGTTACGACAGTGGACAGCTTACCATGTCATCAGGTTACACAGTGCATGAAAGGATTAATGGGATTTAAAATTTGAATCGCTGTTGTGCAATGTAGCGGTGTTGCATCACCGCAGAAAGGAATAGGTCGATAAAACACATAAACCCTCCCTGCCACTCCTTGAGCTGCATGCCTTCAGCAATTCTATGCCAGGAGGGTCAAAGTTACAAATTCCATGTGTGTGGATGGCAAGAAAACAAAAAGGCCCAGGATGCCGGTACATTTTACTGCATACAACGGTGTACAATTACTACAAATGATTTGGGAGTAATCTCTCAAAGGCAAAAGTATTTTTGGTGGCTTTTTTGAAGTGGTAAATATTGATAATGACACACTTTGGCATTGGCAAGGCACTTGTTGATCTCATGAAATGAAACTTTTAGTGTAGATGTTTGACCTACTGAACCTTTTTTGCCCCGTATCTGAGAATCCAGACTGATTTTGTTGTGGCAGGTCACATGTGTACCTGTGGAGAAAAAAAGCAAAGGTCCCTGTATCTGTCCCCAAAATGTATGCAAGCGATGTACAGTATGTACTGTGCCGGATACATTCTGGTCAATCGTGATCCGCTCAATATATCGCCACTCTTTTATTCTCACCCAAGTCCTCTCTCAGGAAATAACCCACTCCTTCCCTGACAGTTAGTCTTTCTTTTTATGATTTAATAAAATTGGTAGTACAATACACTGTGTGTCCGCTCAAAAGGTGAAACCGGCTCACTTTTTAACTTTGCAAAACGTCCATGGATCAAATTGCCTAATGCGCGGGTGTGAGTTGCCAACTGCCATTTGCAATGGTCCAGTCTAAATCGGGTTTGGTTGTATCGCATAGTGTGTAACGGGCCTTAAAGCACAATTTACAATTTAGCAGTCTTCACAACTTTGTGACATGAAATGTCACTGCTGCCTACTGTCCCTGGCAGATTTTTTTTTCCATTTCATACGCAATTGTTTAGCTTCCTTCTTATTTATAAAATCAAAAATGTGTTTCTGGGTTTTAAAGTTAACGTGTCCCATGAGAATGTCAAAAAGGTAAAACAAATTTTAAAAAATCCAATGTAAATATAGACAGACGGTATTCTTCGGATTTTTGCATGTGTAGGCTCAAGAGGCGTGCGGCCCACTGGAGATCGACAATGCTCTATCAGTTGTGAGACGTCTGGAGAAGGATATTCAGGATGCCAAAGCTTCAGCTGATGAAGGCAAACTCAAACCCCTACCGGGCGAGAATGTAAGTGACGCATACACTGGGATGGATCAAGACACATGCACATACACGCTCGTGCCCATGTTTTTGCTTGTGCAAATGACATCAACCAGAGACATGCATCAATAACAATTTCTTCCTCTCTGCATGCCTCACACGGTTACAGCTTGAGAAATGCTCCCAGGACCTTGGCACCAGCACTAAGGCAGTAAGCTCAGCCGTAGCCCAGTTGCTAAGTGAGGCCACCCAGGGCAATGAGAACTATACAGGTGTGTTCCAACCCTTGTCAACCATTTGCATTCTATTTGCTTGATATAGAGCCTTCCATAATTTGAAAAAAAACAAACCAAAAAAAAAAAAACTTGTCCTCTCTAATTCCTGTCAAACCAATAACACTGATGCAAAATATGCACTGAGTGTGAAGTTTTGGCGACATAATGAAAGAAGTGAGACTGCATTGCTTGGCCTGCTCGATGGAAAGGTTTTAAAATGTCCTATGGGCATGGTTGTGTGCAGATTGATCAATAAGACTCTTCGCTTATCACCGTAGCATTTAAAGCCTACGATATTGAGGCAAAACATGTTGCAGCTAGCAGGAACATCAGACTTAATGATGGAGTCACCAGATCGAATATGAACAAGGCTAATTCGTCTCTATAACTGGCTGAAAGAGGAGGAGAATTAGTATACTTCAGCAGCACACTAAGTATAAAAGTTGAAGGCGTCAAAATTAATGGGCCGCTAATCCATCATCAAATTACTCAACAACCACAAACTATTTTGGTCATCGAGTGATCACTTCGAGCCATTCTAAAATTGTCCAAATCCTTTGATTCCAGCCTCTCAACAGTAATTATTCTCTGATTTCTCTCGGCCATCAGTAGACTGATTCTCATTTGTATTGAATAAAAAACAAAACAAAACAATTACTAGCAAGCATCTGCTTTGACTTTGGAAAACATTGACCAAAGCAGTAACTGAATCCGTTTCAAGTTTGGTGAGCACATTTGTTGTTGTTTATTTGTTCTTTTTATAATCACTAAACAAGACAAAATCAATAACAATAATTGATTGATCATAAGAATAATAATAATGCTCTGAGGAACAAGTTTAATTCATTCCGTGAAGTTGCTTGTTTTTTTTAAAGTAATCATACTCATTTCATGTTTTCCAATTGAAATAAATGCAGAAGCAATTAATCCGTTCCAACCTCCAACAACTCACAGACATTTTTTTAACATGATTTTTTTTTTCCATGAAAAGCTGCACTCAACCGTATTGAACTGTATAAAAACACACAATAATAAAATTAGCTCTCCGCATAACCAACAAACGGAAATGTGAGCACAAAAAAAATCCTCCCTGATTCCTCTTCTTCTGTGGTGTTCATTGGCAGTTGGCAAACCAAACTGCAACATATTGTATTCCATTGTATGGTAACCAACCAGGCTTATTGCATTGCAATGCAGTCATCCTGAGTTAGATTTTATTTATTTATTTATTTTAAGGTATGGCGGCTAGAGATGTAGCCCAGGCTCTGAAGTCCTTGGCTTCAGCAGCAAGAGGAGTTGCTGCAAGCACAGACGACGCAGGAGCGCGTGCTGCTCTGCTGGACTGCGCCAGTGATGTCATGGATAAATCAGGCAACTTAATTGAGGAGACAAAGAAGGCCATCACCAAGCCAGGAGACCCAGAGAGTCAGCAAAGGCTGGCCCAGGTCAGACAAAGGCTGAGGATAAGAGGGGCACCAAGTTTAGATAACAGATTCGGCAATTTGTCTGTTTTTTAAATTATTTTTATGATTTAAAAAAAAATAAACAACATCAGATGCAGTTATTATGCTTTTCTAGACATGTTTTGACTTGAGAATTGTAGCTGTTTTTGTATAAGATTGTTCACATTTGTCTCTGTCTTGACTGATGTCAACCTGCAAGTGTTTGAGTTCAACAGTCACTCAGTAAGGGTGTATTTGTGCGTCTCCTTCGGTATGTAGGTGGCTAAAGCGGTGTCTCAGGCCTTGAACAGATGTGTGAACTGCCTCCCTGGTCAGAGAGATGTGGACAACGCCATTCGTACCGTGGGTGAAGCCAGCAAATGTCTACTGGCTGATTCTGTGAGTGTAATCAGTGTGATTTGCAACCGATTGCTCAATTTTTATTTTATTTTTTTCTTGGACTTGTTTGGTTTTACGATTTTTTTTTTTGTCGGTAATATATCATACATCATAACTGAAACACACTTCTACTTACATAAAAAATACGGCCACACACCAAACATTGCGACACGTTTGATTTTGAAGATGAAACATAAAGTCAGTAACCATATATCAACTCAAGGCCAACTTTATTGTCAAATACTTATACTTTCAGTATCATATTCAGTGTCATATACTTTCAGACAATTATAAACAAAAACAATCCAAATCTTGCATGCAATAAAAGTTACTTATAATGACGAAGACAACTGTAATAAACGTAATATTTAATGATAATCTTATTCAATCAAATAAAAGTATATGACACAAATAACTGCTATTGACAGCTACAGAAGTCAGACATCCAGCGTTTTTCCTTTTAAACTGTATTTACATGGACAGACATTTGTCAACATAAACATTAAAATGTAATCACAAGTGTTTTTCCATAAGGTTACTAATAAACAAACACAGTCGTGCCAAATTTAACAAATTTTAATTATAGATATCTTCACAAAAATGATGAATTCAAGTTAGCGATGTTTAAGTTTTTATCCAAGAATCTAAGATAGGGGTCGGCAACCCAAAATGTTGAAAGAGCCATACAGGACAAAAAAACAAAACAAAAAACAAATATGTCTGGAGCCGCAAAAAAATAAAAGCCTTCTATAAAACTTAGAATGAAGGAAACACATGCTGTATGTATGTAGGAGACTGGACTGTCTCAGAATTGTTTGTTATTCATTCCTTTGTTGTGTGTTCACAAACGCCCCCATAAATTTATTTTGTGATTTCCTCGCTTGATTTTTTGTTTTGGTGCATTATTTTCACTTTTCTTCGTGTCAGTGAAGTGATCATTAATTTCCGTTTTTCGGAGGCTGTCTTTGAACGGCTCTCGAGTTGAACGAGAAGAGAGAAGGTACGGAGTCGGACGCAGACTTGTCTGTGTTTGTCGAGACTGTTAAAAGCATAAAGTCTACATTTTAAAAAACCAACACCACAGCTCTCCTATTTCGGAGCTGCAACATGAATCTATATCTATTTGAGCTATATTAGCCTACTATCAAAATATTTTTCCATTTTCAAACATTTTTTATAAAGCTCCAGGGAGCCAATAGATGTCGCTAAAGAGCCACATGCGGCTCTGGAGCCGCGTGTTGCCGACCCCCGGTCTAAGGCTCCGTTCACATTGCAGGGATTATTTATTTTTTTTGTACTCGTTCACATTACAAAAACAAACGCGACTTCTAATGTGAATGCACCACGTTCCTGATGTGACACATGCGCACAAAGCATGATGTCGAGGAGTAAGACATCTTGTGTCGCAGTGCATGGCTCAGCTTCAGAAAAAAAGTCTTCCAAATAACAAATAAATGCACACAAAATGTTTTGAAATGTTATCCTCACAGTTGCTCTTCTCCTTTCTAGTTCCCATCCAGTGGAAGGAGTTTCCAGGAGGTTCAAGGTCAGCTTAATGAAGTGGCAGCCAATCTTAACCAGTCGGCCAATGAGGTTGTCCAGGCGTCTCGAGCAACCACCCAAGACCTGGCTAGAGCCACCGGCAAGTTCGGAAAGGACTTCAGCAACTTCCTGGAGGCTGGTGTCGACATGGCAGGAACATCACAAGTCAGTATGATGAGCTTCATCAGTACAACGGTAGCCACTTTCATATGGCATTCTTGGTAAATTGGCACATAAGAATTGTAAAGCAACAGTAGTCGTTTCACACATTTACCACCAAAATTGCGACTAGTGAATGTGTTTACTGAGACAGAAACACACTGAGAAAATTTGATGGAGTGTCAGCGTGACAGTCACAATTTCTTTCGACACAAAAGGGAGTCTAGGGTTTTGAACGTCACTCTCTGGTGTGGCTGATGGCAGTCCACCTCTGTTACGCCTCGGATATTACGTTGGAAGCTGGCAGATCGACTTCTGTCTATTTTCAACGCAGTTGCCTTGGAAAATATCCAATACGTACCATGTCTGATTTTTATCCACATTTGGCAGAGGCTTACATTTGAGGATATCTGATTCGGTGTCGTTTTATTTTGTTATTCTTTACGCCGCAGTCTGCATTGTGACACTTGAGAGCAAAAAATATAGAGAGAATTTTGGCAGCGGTGTAAATCTAGCCCAATTCTTCTCCAGGCATCCTTAATTCACTTGTAGATGTGTCAGTGATCCCCGACCTTTATTGAGGCAAGACAAATATAAGTTCAAAAAATTGCACGGCACACCACCAAATAAAACTGTCACAAAAAGAGGATACATATGTCAATTTAATACTTTTTGGCATCTAAAAGATCATCTATTTGTTTTTTTCTGTCACTGTAAGTCGCTGGCATAGATAGATGGAGAAAGATAGATTATTTGTTATTGATAAATAATTTTCTCACCAATTAGGTGAATTTTGATCATTTGAGTTCTCACGGCACTCTAATGCACACTGGTTTGGGAATCACCGAGATATGTCTCCAGATCGACCCACAACTTTTCATCCTAAAATATTACAGGAGCAAAAATGCAAACGATTTCATTCAGAATGAATTACATTTGTCTTGCATGCGAAATGTGTAAAACTCTTTGCCTTCTTCCTTGCTTTCTTCAGTCTAAAGAGGACAAGGCACAAGTGGTGTCCAACTTGAAGACTATCTCAATGTCATCCAGCAAACTACTACTTTCAGCCAAAGCACTATCTACTGACCCCAATTCCCCCAACCTCAAGAACCAGCTGGCAGCTGCTGCTCGGTACCGTTTATCTTGAGCTTTCTGTTTTATAAATCCTGTTTTTTGTTGTTGTTGATGCAGATTGGGTTCTTGTATCTCATGTATCAACCTTTGTCTCCATAGGGCTGTCACAGATAGCATCAACCAGCTCATAACTATGTGCACTCAGCAGGCTCCAGGTCAGAAGGAATGTGACAATGCCCTCAGAGAGCTGGAGGTACCACCACCAAGCAACTAGAATGTTATTCTCTTGTCTCTTCTGTCGTTTGCGTCATTCTGCTTTCTTCTCAAAGATTACTATACACCATAAATAGTTTCACAAAAGCGTTTACTTCGCAAATCCATCAACAAAATAGCTGATCAAAACTATTTGGGGAAATTGCGGGAACTTCAAGTTCAAGTTCAGTTAGTCCCATTCGCTTGCATTGGTAAATAAACATATATTGCCAAATTATGGTAATCTACTCGATATATGAAAATACATGCAAAATATATTATGCCGTCATTATATTCTTTTTTTCCAGTTCTGATAGCTATTAATTGCTGTTCAATATAATTAGTTTAAATGACCATATTGATTAAAAATATGCTGCTCTGGCAGTATCATCGAGTCACTTCTTGTACAAAGTATTCGAGTTGACATCAGTTTGATCAGGCGCAAACCTATCAGTTTTGAAAACTAGAATTGCATAAATTAATTTCGATTAATCCACCTTCTGAATCGGGTCAGAAACAATGCATTGGAATTGTAACGTAAGATGTGTTGTGCAGTACTACACAGAGATCGTTCTTTCTGCAAAGTGCTGCTTAGAAATCGTATTTATTTACAAATGTTTTCAAATGCTGCCATGCATTAATGTTTTAGTCATTTTTCTCCTATAATCGAGAATATAAACTATGGGCCAACTGCGCAGAAATAGCTGCTATAATTTAGGAAATATCATCAACTCAATTCACATTACTAACCTTACAACAAAATGGTTCATCAGCACCAAGCTATTAAAATGTTCAATTTTTTTTATCAATTATTTGCATCATGTTTATTTAAACGCAGTGCCCACATCTGCTTTTCAAGTGTTGTGATAACAGAAAATTGGGAAAAATAGTCATAGGAAATAAAGGAAGCTGTCACCCTTACCAAAAAACATTCATATGAAATGATGACGATTCCTGATTAGTAGTTAGCTTAATAAATATATAATTTAACTTTAAGAAATTATATGCACCTGTTATTAAATAATCGCACATTAACAGAGTGTGGTGTGACAATGTTACTTGTGTGTGCGTGTGTGTAGTCGGTGAGGGGGATGCTGGAGAACCCGACAGAAGCTGTCAATGAGCTCTCCTACTTTGACTGTATTGACAGCGTCATGGAAAACTCCAAGGTTTGGACAAACATCCCTGTTGCTGGATTGCTGAATAGTTTTCTGCAACTGTCTTCTGTTTTTTTGAATCATCTGCTTTATGTTGCAAGATCCTTGGGGAATCTATGGCCGGTATTTCCCACAATGCCAAAAACTCCAACCTGCCAGAGTTTGGCGACTCAGTCAGTTCGGGCTCCAAGGCCCTGTGCGGTTTGACTGAAGCTGCAGCACAGGTAAAAAAAAATATAATAATAATAAAAAAGATGCTGTGAAGCATAACTGAACAGAAATGAAACCAACCTGATATTTTGGTGTTTCTAGGCTGCCTATCTGGTTGGAGTATCCGACCCTAACAGTACAGCGGGTCAGAAGGGTCTGGTGGATCCTGCTCAGTTTGCTCGTGCTAACCAATCAATCCAGATGGCCTGCCAGAACTTGGTTGACCCTGGCTGCACCCAGTCACAAGTACAGACCATGTCAACCACCTCAATGACCACTTTCATGTTTTGCCGTTTCATTTGAATTTCTCCTTGCACAGGTGCTCTCTGCAGCCACCATTGTTGCCAAACACACCTCCGCACTCTGCAATGCTTGCCGCCTGGCATCCTCGAAAACTCCCAACCCTGTTGCCAAGAGACAGTTTGTCCAGTCAGCCAAAGAGGTGGCCAACACAACTGCCAATCTAGTGAAATCGATTAAGGTTTGTAGTTTTTACATTTTATTGTGGCTTACACTAATTGAAATCCACAGGGTTTTTAATTGGCTTGGTCCAGGATTACCTTTCAGCCATACTGCATTGTACACTTAGTGGAGATTAAACACACACACAAAAGAAATCATGACATTCTGAAAAAGGGCCATGATGTCCTAAAAAAAAAAAAAAAGATACTCATTTCATGCACACAGTATTCTTATTTCTTCCTCTGTAGGCTTTAGATGGAGCCTTCAATCAAGAGAACAGAGAAAAGTGTAAGGCTGCGACTGGTCCCCTGATAGAAGCCGTGGACAATTTAACAGCCTTTGCCTCCAACCCAGAATTTGCCAGCATTCCAGCTCAGATCAGTCCTGAGGTACGTTCACTCAAAAAGATCGAATTTTACCCTGGATGTAGTGAAAGATTTTTCAATAAATCATTTTAATGAGCACACATGATTAATGTTGATTCTAATAAATTTAAATTCTGTTGTGTTCTTTGGCGTTAAGGGAATACATAGTCTCTTTATATTCCCCATTAAGTTGTTTCCCTGTTAGTATTCCCATGCCATCAATTGGTGATTATTAGCAGGAACCATTGTAACCGAAAAGGGTTCTGTCCGACACTAATTGACATGTGCGTTCGACAACACACACTCAAATAGACAACTACTTAGTGAGCTCTGCGCAGCCATTATGAAACGAAGATAATACCAAAAGCATAGTTAACTACTAACTAAATGAAGGAAGAAGGAGACAAGCAAGACTTCTCAGGATATTTAGCCCCTTGTGGATGTGAGCCCACGAGGTTTGTGCGCCTTTTTGTTGAATCAATCGTCTTCATAACTTTTGTCTTTCTTTTATTGTTTTGTAATGCCATTTGTATTTATATGTTTCATGTCCGTGTTCGTGACCAGTTCTCACGGCTTGCCAATGAATAAACCCTGTATTTTTATGGACTTCATGTCGTGCTTCATGCTACATTCTGAGGGAGCTACATATGGATCAATATTCAGATTTCTTGGACGTAGTATTTTAAATGTTCTGTAAAACGCTTTGTTACAGCTGCAGCGGTTGTGAAAGCTCTACACAAATAAAGCTGTATTGTATTGTATTCTCTTAGTGCAGCTCCATCTAGTGGATGCATAATGCAACTGCAGCCACTATTGCAGCTTCTATACTATGTGCCTTATAATGCAGTGCACCGTATATATGAAAAGAGTTTTAAAATAGGACATTCATTGAAGATGCACCTTATAATCCAAAGTGTTTTATAGTGCAGAAAATGCAGTATATTTTCGTCTTTCGAAACGAAATTCCCCATCTTGATGTTGAGGTGGAAATGTCTGGGAGACCATGCTCCAAATTGCCAGAAGCCCCAGAGTTAACATCCTTGACTTCATGTTGTCTCGACTTAGGGTCACGCTGCCATGGAGCCCATTGTTGCAGCAGCAAAGACGATGTTGGAAAGTTCCACTGGGCTCATCCAGACTGCGCGTTCTTTGGCCGTCAACCCCAAAGACCCGCCTAAGTGGTCTGTGCTTGCCGGACACTCAAGAACTGTATCTGACTCCATCAAGAAACTCATCACCAACATGAGGTATAATCTCCCACGAATCGTTCAGATCTTACCATTTTTGATACTTGAACAAATGTACTTCCCTATCCAAGATCAGATAAAGTATTTTTGTACCCTTCACAAAAAAATAAATAAAATAAAAATTGATCATAACTGACTTAAACTGAACTGGGCTGCTGAATGGGCTATAAGTTCGACAATGACCAACAGTGACATTTAGCAATCAGGAGCTTCAATCAATATTACTCATCAGTTCTCCTTCCAGCAGCGACAGGAGGTCTCCTTCTATATTTGGAGGAAGATGGCAGTGTTTTGTTTTTGTCCCCCTGGGCAACAACTGTGGCAGCCTTACTATGCTTTCGGCTCAACGTTTTTCTTTTTTTTGGTTAATGTGTGTGATATTCTTTTTTTTTTTTTTTTTGGCCTGTATATTTTATCATGTACATCAGATTATTTTGTGATTTCCTTCTCCAAAATTGATTACATTATTTTTACTTCACTGTTTGGCTGTCTGGACTGTTTAACAGTGGTGCAAAAAAATGATATCCCTCCTTCCTAATTTCTTTTTTTGAGGGGCAGTGGGGGGGTGGGGGCTTCTATTTAGCACACTTATGTTTTTCATCTCATCAGACTAATTTGATATTGCAAAACACATAACAAGAAATGCAGTTTTTAAATGATTATTTATTAATAGATTTTTTTTAATTATGTGGGAATGTAATCCAAACCTTTCTGGAGCTATGTGGAAAAAGGAATTGCCTCTGGACATAGCTGATTATGCCATCCATGGCAGCAATAACTGCCATCAAACTTTTGCAATCACCAGTGGTGAATCTTTTGCATTGCTGTGGAGGAATTTTCTCGGACTCTTCTTTGCGGAATATTTTGAAATCAGTCATATGGAAGGGTTTTTGAAAATGAACTGCCCGTTCAAGGTCGTACCACAGCATGCCCATTGGATTCAAGCGCACCGACTTGGCCACTCCATCTATCGATCTATATATCCATCCATCCATTCATTTTCATCTGCTTATCCGGTGTTGGGTCGCGGGGGCAGAAACTTCAACAGGGAAGCCCAGATTTCCCAATCCCCAGCCACTTTGTACAATTTGCTAGCTAGCTTGTTTTAGCCATTCAGAGGTGCTCTTGCTAATATGTTTTGGTGTTGTAGTCCTGCTGCATAACCCATTAGCGCTTAAGATTGAGGGCATGAATTTATGGCCAGATGTTGGCCTGCAAGATTTTCTGGTATTGTTCAGTTTGTCACAGCAAGCAGCAAAAACTGGCCAAAATCCACCGCGTTTGACCGCTAGCATGATATTGTTGTTGTTGTTCTTTTTTTTTTTGAAGCCAAATGCTATATTTTTCTTTTGGGTTTTTCTTTTCCTTAAGTCTTGGTGGTCATGAATAGGTTTTTTTGACAAACGTGCGGGGATCAATAGTTTATTTATTTATTTATTTATTGTCAGCAATGGTTTTTGTCTTGAACTGTTACCATGGATGCCATTTTTGCCCAGTGGCTTTGTTACGGTTAAGTCATGAACACTGGCCTGAGGTCCGTGAGGTCTGCAGTTCTTTTGATGGTGTTCTAGCTTTTTTTAAACCTCCTAGATGAGTTGTCCATTTGTGGACAAATTCCTCTGAGCGTAGTTTGCTGGAGTCCCAAAGCCTTGGAAAGGGCTTTGTAACTTCTTCCAGACTGATAGATTTCAATCATTTTGTATTTCATTTGTGCTTGATTTTCTTGTGATCTTTTGGCAAGATGCATGCTCGACATCATTCTTGATTCAGCTGATTCATTTTGGTGGTAATCAAGCCCCAGGGTGTGGCCAGAACATTTATGAAAAGTGTCTGAACTTATTAACAAGGGTGTCTCAGACAGGTCTCTTCAGGCATCTTTTAAATATTAATGAGAGCATAAAATGATTGAACATTCATGTGAAGGCAACTTTTTGTTCCAGACTGACTACACTCTATTCTCCTCTAATCGGCCAAACGTTTTAATTGATTCTCTACAGAGAAAAGGCTCCTGGCCAGAGGGAGTGTGATGATGCTATCGAGGTTCTGAATGGCTGCATCCGTGAGGTTGACCATGCTTCTCTTGCTGCCATCAGCCAGCAATTAACACCCCGAGAAGATATCTCTATGGAGGTAAACACAAACAGTACCTTGTCTGTGGATTACATTCTTTTGGTAATGCAGTTACAAAGTAAGATGTAAGATGAAACTCTTGTCAAAGTGACAATATTTTTGTTGGTCTGTTTCTATTATTCAATTCCATTTAGTTTATTGCCACTGCCGTTATGGTCGATGATCATAAACTCCATGTCTGTGCTGTGTGTTTACAGGCCCTCCATGAGCAGATGGCTGCCTCAGTTCATGAGATTAGCAATTTGATTGAACCAGTTGCTGTGGCTGCCCGCTCTGAGGCCTCCCAATTGGGCCACAAGGTCGGAGAACAGATCTCTACTCAAGCTCACATTTTTTTTTTCGTGACTTATTATCATTATAGGTCCATCCTGTTGTGATATTCCAAAAAACGTTTGAATCTCGTTTCTCACTCGACAGGTTTCTCAAATGGTCAGCTACTTTGAGCCCCTCATAATGGCAGCTATCGGCACGGCGTCGAAGATACTGAGCAGCCAACAGCAGATGGCTGTCTTAGACCAAACTAAAACTCTCACAGAGTCAGCCCTGCAGATGCTCTACACTGCCAAGGAAGCTGGAGGAAACCCCAAGGTACTTTTCCACCCCGTCATTCACAGCTGTGAATGTGGTGTCATACGTTGTTCAAAACGTCACTGCTTTTTAATAGATGTGCAGATGCTGGAGGATAAATCAATCAAATCGAAAAATAAACCCAGTGCTGGTGCTCAGTGCTTACTTACATTTCAAAAAATGGATGACCTTAAACTTTTTCAGTTGTTATGACGGTAAAAGGGGGCCATTATATATTCTTTGCACCTATTAGCGCCTCTCAGGAACATACCATACAGAGCATCATGACTGAACTCAACAAGTTAGTAGGTGACTGACCTTTGCAATCTTGGCAACTCGCCACAGAGGGAAAGAAAGGCGAGGCCTTTTGTTCTGATCAGGATATGGCGCTTTGAGCTGCCACATAAATTATTTTATGGAACCACAAACATGCATGTCTGCCAGTAAAAAAAGCGGTGTGAATGTATAACAATATAATAGGAAATGGGTACGAACAAAGGAGACAGTGTGGCTATTAAAGCTGCTGTGGACGATCCCCATTCATTGATTGCATTTTCGAGCACACAGGCTTTGGCCACAGTCACATGATTATTAAATATCCATAATGCCTGGCTGTATCCTCCTTGGCACCCGGCCATGTAATTTTTGTTGTCAGAGGTCATGTGATAGAACATGCCATTTTGGATCGGCTGTTACATCTGCAACCTTGCAACGTTGTTCACCTGTGATTCAAATTATGAATCGCAGCAAAACTAGTTGCCCAATTAACTCGATAGTGAAATCCAGTTTCTTTCATTTGCATATTTGAATCAAGGTCAAGGTTTTTCTTTCTTACGTCTTTGATAACATTTTACGTGCTTGCATCTCGACCTGGTTGGACCATTATGTTATAGTTCGCTAAATGCTAAATGGGCTGTCACTTATATAGCGCTTTTCTACCTCGGGTACTCAAAGAGCTTTCCATTGTTATCACATTCTACTACCACGCAGCATCAGGGTGTTCGGTATCTTGTTCAAGAACACTTTGACGTGGTCGCAATGGCTGGGGATCGAACCGCCAACCAACCACGGGGTTGGGAAATGACTGAGCCGTGCTGCCCCGTTATAAAGCTCTTTCTGGTCTTGCTCTTATACTACCTGAACATAAAAATCTGGTGGTTGCCAGGTCACCTTTAAAACACAGGGCAAGTGCAGAATTTGGCGTAGTGGCTCTCAAAATGTGGAACCAAATGCCCAAAACATAACATGCCCACTTTGGCATGTTTTCATATACAGGAATTGCTTGAAACCCCTCGTGGTCTCATTGGCATTGGCCCTGACAATGCAGAGTTGCAAGCTTTGTATTTTATTCGTGTATTTTCTTTCAAATTTTAAAATTAGAATCTTTATTGTCAGCTTTGATATTCCATTTTTATTGGTTTCATGCTGTTTATTGTTTTGTATCTTCTGTTAGTTTGTTTTATATTCTGTGTTTTTCAATTTATTGTACGGCACTTCTGCCATTATTAAACGTGCCCTATCAATACAAATATGGATTCTTTTTCCAGGCAGCCCACATGCAGGAGGCTCTGGAGGAGTCAGTGCAGATGATGAAGGAAGCAGTAGACGATTTGGGGGCCACGCTGGCCGAAGCAGCCAGTGCGGCAGGTGCTGTGGGTGGCATGGTGGACTCCATCAACGACGCCATCAATAAGATGGAAGATGCCCCCACGCTTGAGCCTGAGGGCACCTTTGTGGACTACCAGACTACAATGGTTAAGACGGCCAAGGCTATTGCTGTCACTGTGCAGGAGATGGTAAGACTATTTCGGGTAGATGTAATTGATAGCGTGTCACTTAAAAGGGAAGCTCCATTCTGTCTCTCTTTCAATTGACCTGTGAACACTGATTGGCATGCTGCAAAACTGCCAACTACCGTGTACTGGCAGGTGAGCTGAGGTAGTGTAGATAATAATGTTCTGTATGTCATCATGCTCTTTCTGCCTCAGTTACTATTTCATGCATAAATACAGTATTTTATTTTGAAAATGTGTTTTAACTACAACTTTGGACTAGTTGAGTATGGGTGGCGAATTCTTCAACACAAAAACAGTATGTGTTGTGAAGGGTTTTAAAGGGTAGAAGGATAAATGAAACTTTAATATTAGCCACTAGGTAGAGTAGCTACACTCTCATTGTTTTCATACAGTGGTACCTCTACTTACGAACGTCTCTTCATACGAGATTTTCAAGTTACGAATCGTCTCAACAAGAAAATATTGCCTCTTGTTATGAAAGAAATTTCAAAATACTAAAGGTAAAAATACAGTCTGGGCTGCTACTTGCAGCGCAAAATTTCCTGAACGCAACATAGCTGCTCTGCCATTGGATATTACCGAGCATCATCCTGGCATCCCATTGGCTAAGAGGGCCTCTACCGTCTGTGTCTATGTGTGTAGATACAGGGATATGTGTCCATGCAGCGTCCTCGTCATTCGCCCCTCGGGCCATGAGGTCTTCCGATAGATTTACGTAAATGTGAATCACCCAGAAAGTGTTCACCAGTCGGAAGATCGCTCGCTATGCTGATGTTTGCCTTGGACATTTTTGAAGGATTGTTAAAAGCTGACAAAAGCAAACGTCCTTGGATCAGTTCTTTACAAAACGCCAGGCAAAAACCACTTCTGAGAGAGAACATGAACAAAAGAAGGCAAAAAACATTGATGATGCAGTTAAAAGTTAAATGTCCTTTATTTTTATTCTTTATTCTTTGTTTTTTACATTCTGCACAACTCTCATTTATTGTGCAATAATCTAATTGTAACATGTATTTGTTACATATGTTGACGTGTTTTTATGCTTTAGAAAACATTTAGGTCTGAATTTTGGGGTTGCGGGGGGAACGGATTAGGGCATTTACATGGAAAACGCGTCTCTACTTACAACTTTTTCTTGTTAAGAAATTTCTTCCAGAAACAATTAATTTTGAAAGTAGAGGTACCACTGCATATATGAGAAAATCAATATGTAATTCTCAACTAATTGTGTAATATCATTGTTCATGTTGTTTCCGTAACATTCAAACTAGGCTGTTCTATGTCACTACACCTACATAAATCCTCTTTTTTATTTTTTAGGTGACCAAGTCAAACACAAACCCTGATGACCTTGGTGGACTGGCCAATCAGCTGACAAATGAGTTCGGTAATCTGGCAAATGAGGCCAAATATGCAGCTGTAACTGCAGAAAATGATGAGGTATATTCATATGATTAGCCAAAACCTCAATGTTAATAATATACATGTTGCCTTTTATAATCTCATCAGTAGTTTTTATGTGCAGCGGTTGAGCAGTTTTCACTCTGTTTCTTCCAGATCGGTTCTCATATCAAGAAGCAGGTTGGTGAACTGGGTTTCAGCTGCACCGGTCTGGTGACCAAAGCTGGAGCTCTGCAGTGCAGCCCCAATGATTCATTCACCAAGAAGGAACTGATTGAAAGTGCTCGTAAAGTCTCAGAGAAGGTGAGTTTTGCTTGTACTGTACTTGTTTGAGGATGAATGATGGATTTGTGTTTATTAAGTGTAACTCTTACTTAGTCGAACTAAAAACTTGTAAAATACATGTCCTTGTGCCCAAACTTACTCAGCTGCACATGCAAAATGATACGCAAAACCAAAAATGTTCTGACGGCTGTATCTGTACTTACCACAACTCCACTAAACACGAACCAAAGGCAGGGGACTCGAGTCATATGACATGGTCCGAGTCACACATTTTAGGATCTGGGACTTCCGTGGTCAAAACTTAGAAAACACTAAACCTGACTTTAACTTGAAAAGCATGACTTTCCGCTTTACCTTTGAAGATCATCATTATACATACACAATCCATTTTTATTTATATCGCACTTTTACAACAGCTGCAGCTGAAACAAAGCACTGTGCACAGTTCAGATAGTACAACTAATATTAATCTCGGGGTACATGAACGGCCTACAATCACGAAAAACACTTATATTGAGGCCCTTACCTGCTAACTCACGCACACCTTGTGAATCAAGTCAATTTGTTTCGGAACTCAAATGTGTTACATTCCGCTTCATCTGGTGATTAGCGTGGGTCTTAAACATTGTGACCAAAACGTGCCTAATTGAAATTAAACTGCTCAAATAAAGTAACCATCAGAGGGTACTGGAATCGAACAAATGGAAAACAATCTGTCCCTTTGAGCAGAAGTGCTACTTTTAATATCGCGACATGACGACGACTCCATCGTGGCAATTTTGATATCACAATGTGACATTGCTGCTATCGTTACATCCCTAAATAGCCATGGCATTTGAAACGTAACATAGGTTCACCTATAAAAGTTCCAGTGCGTTTTAGGCTAACCTGAAATTTCAACCAAACAGCGGATTATGTTTTGCTTTTTGTATGTCGTGTTAATCAGATTCCTGTTCCGGTCCTAATAAATTGGTCTTCTTATAGGTGTCGCATGTGCTGGCAGCTCTCCAGGCAGGTAATCGTGGCACCCAGGCCTGCATCACAGCAGCCAGTGCTGTGTCTGGAATCATCGCCGACCTTGACACCACCATCATGTTTGCCACTGCTGGGACACTAAACAGAGAGAATGCAGAAACCTTTGCAGACCACAGGTATGTCCCACTACAGAGATATTAACCATCACTGAGATTCAATTATGAGTAAGTTAGAGTAAACTAGAACAATTCCTGTGGGAATTTTAAATGGGGCTGCTAACTGTTGCAAGTCGAAAAGGTGCATTTGGGAAACATTTTACATTGCGCCCTGTGGTCAAGTACCATTTAACCCTTTCAGGGACAGTGGTTACTACAGTGGACAGCTTATCATGTGATCAGGTTACAGAAAGCATGAAAGGGTTAAGGAAAGGATGAAATGCTAACGGTGGTTAAGCTAACATGTACAGTAGCATTATAGCAATTTAAGCAGAGAAGGCACAAGGGAAGACAGGCTTATCTATGAACATTTTTATTCTACCCTGTGATCAAGTACAATTTTGAAAGAAATTTGCTGAAATGCTAAGAGTTGGAATGCTAACACATAGTCAGATGCCTCTCTGTGTACAGAAAGCATATGGGCAAAGCCATAAGGTATTTACTTAACCTGGGTGTGGCAACACCTCGCTCTTTAGCGCCCCCCAGTGGCTCCCTAGAGCTTTTTCAAAAATGTTTGAAAATGGAAAAAGATGGGAGGGAAATATATTTTTTTGTTTTAATATGGTTTCTGTCAGAGGACAAACATGACACAAACATGATTAACGTTTTCCGATGCTGCAAAAATGTGTCGCATAAATATTAAATGTCAACATTTCGTCAACAAATATTTGCGTCATAGCCTGCGACACACTGTTTGTTTGTTTGTTTGTTTGTTTGTTTGTTTGTTTGTTTGTTAAACATAAAAACATACAATTTCTATTAGCAGGGCGGGATGTCAGTTAGGGGGCTGTTGTAAAATAATTTTTTTTTTTTTTTTTTTTTTTTAAAAACAGCTGCCTTTCATGTACAATTCACCGAGGGTACTTGCTAAGAATTGGAATCTGGGCAGCCAAGAGAAGCATTTTTAAACGGTACACGTGAGCTATGATAGTTAGAACGCTGCGAAAGTGCGTCCCGTGCCTCGTTCATCTTAGCGGCCGTCATGGCTGTCGCTCATTACGGCATGCGTGTGTAAGTGTGTGCGTGTGCGGTAATGGGTCGATCGCGGGAGGTTGGTTGTTCGAAAAGTAGATCTTCCGTCAAAAAAGTTTGGGCACCCCTTCTCTACAGGATGAACTGCAGTGGAAAAAAAAAACGTTTAATCATGAATGCTCGTTGTGTACGGTATTTGTAGCCAACTTAGTCATGTTGATAGCAGGCTAATATAACTCATATAGATACATACAGCACATGTTGCCTGATTATAAGGCTCTTTATTTTTTGCAGCTCCTGACATTTTTTTTTTTTTTTGGTCCAATATGGCTCTTTCAAGAGTTTGGGTTGCCAACCCCTGATTTAACCTAATGAGATGGTGACAGGTGTCTGTTGTTGACCGGCTGCTTAAGTTTACAAAACACCAAAAGGAAGGCAGTTTCTATTTGATTGATTATTTGTTTGTTTTAACAATTCTGCTTGGCAAAAAAAATCATAGACTGTTTAAATTGTGCCACGTTTTGGAAAGAACATTCATTTGTGGAATGAGCGTTGTGTCCACAAAAAAAAAAAAAAAAACGTCAAACTTCCCTGCCTATGCCAGACAACTTATTTTTCTGTTGCTCTTGATTTGTTGTTTTGTGACTCGTGGGTTGGATTGTCTGCCATTGACTGGCAACCAATTCAGAGTGTACCCCGCCTACTGCCCGAAGACAGCTGGGATAGGCTCCAGCACACCCACGACCTTTGTGGGGATAATCCGATTACAAAATGGATTTATGGGTTGGATTGTAGACATTTCATGAAACAAGACATGTTGGCTAATTATTCATTCGACAATTAGGAGTCTCAGTAGTGTGTTGAAGTATCATACACAGCCCCAACGGCCCGGCACCTCCTCATCCTGGTCACACATTGCTGTGCGATGGTAGCCCATTCTTCAGCCGGCATTTGTAGCAAGTCAGCCAACATGTTTGTGTTGGTCACGAACAGTACACCCAAACTAATCCCACGAGTGTTCACTGGGCTTAGTTCACAACAGCTGACGGGTCATTCCTTCCTACTCCCCACTCTCAAATTGTGGCGGTAGTCTCTGATAAAACCCGCTGTGTGGGGTGAAGCATTGTCATCTTGGAGGATAAAGGTCAGTTCCAGACTGTGGCGATACAGAATTGGCACTGGTTGTTGAATCTGATCTTGATATCTTTCTGCATTGAGATTGGCTCCAATGAGGACAAGAATTTTTTTCCAGTGAGGGAGTTGCCACCCCACACAATCGCACCACCTTCCCCAAAAGCTTTTACACTATCGGTGCATCAATCAGCATCGTGTTCTTGGTGTCTTCTCCAGACTTCGACCCGACGATCCAACTGTCGCAAGCATTTATTGGACTGATTGCTGAACATAACATACTCATGCAAATCTGTAGAAGACATCCCAAGTGTCGAGAGGGTTAGGAAACCATCTCTGACATCACTGGGATCACCCGTCATACAGACTTAGCCTTGAGTTTAGAGATGATACTCGGGCTCACACCAAACAGTTTTCCAACTAGGTTCACGGAACACAGGCACATTATCCAGATCAGTCAAATGCAGAGTTTGTCGCAAAGAAATGCTCATGCTGAGAAGCTCCAAACGAGAGTCCATAGCAGCAGCTAAATAAACTGTTGGGCATTTGCAGGTACTTGGCAAATTTTGAATGGCCATATGCTGTACATAGCTGTGCTGCCCATCCCACAAATGCATATTTCTATTTCTTACAAATATATTCTTGTTTAAAAGGGAAATGAACAAGCTTTCCAACAGCATAAGATTTATTACCAAGAAATAACACTTGATCAAGCTGAAGCACACGTTAGTATAGTGGCAGGGCATCCGCCACAGCAGGCCCATAATAAAGCAGGTAAAATGACAGCTTGATGAGAAATCTGAAAAAGCATTTTTTTTGTTGCCATATGCAGATGTACTCTATTTTCACCCTTTCTGACTTGTTTTAATAGATCTGTTTGAGCAGGAATTTCACTCGCCACAATAGCTATTTCCGAGTGGATGACGCACACAAAGAGCTTCTCGCGTTAAAATAGCAAGAGCGGCATTATGTAGGATCGTGTGTCATGAAAATGTGTCGAGCATTTGTCCTAGCTGCCACTTCTCCCAATTTAGAATGTTCAGTTAAAGTGCAAGTGGGAAGTTTTGAGGTTTTTATTGAGGCACAGTCATCATTGATTTGTTAATACATATCCTCTTTGCTTTTGTGATCTATAAAGAATTCATGATCGTGTTGAGAAAACCTAAATGATCTGTTGGACTTGTGTGTGTGTGTGTGTGTGTGTGTGTGTGTGTGTTGTGTTTCTCGTTTTACAAATGGCGTTATATATATATATATATATATATATATATATATAAAACGAATATTTTCTGCACTATAAGGCGCTCTGGAGTACAAGGCACACCTTCAATGAATGGCCGATTTTAATACTGTTTTCATATACAGCACACTGCATTATGAGGTGCATAGAACAGAAGCTACAATAGTGGCTGTGGCTGCGCTATGGATCCACCAGATGGTGCTACGCTAAACATAATACAATACAATTCAGCTTTATTTATATTGAGCCTTCACAACCACTGCAGCTGTAACAAAGCCGTTAGAACTGGTCACAAACACGGACATGAACATATAAATACAAATGGCATTACAAAACAATGAATGAGAGATAAAAGTCATGAAGACAATTGATTCAACAAAAAGGCACACAAAGATCGTGAGATCACATCCAGAAGGGGCTAAATATCCTGAGAAGTCTTGCTTGTCTCCTTCTTCCTTCGTTTAGTCAGTAGTTAACTATGCTTTCGGTATTATCTGTGTTTCATAATGGCTGCGCAGAGGTCACAAAGTAGTTATCTGTTTGAGTGTGTGTTGGTGGCGAATGCACATGTCAATTCGTGTCGGGCAGAACCCTTTTCGGTTACAATTGTTTCCTGCTAATAATCACCACTTGATGGCATTGGAACACTAACAGAGAAACAATTTAATGAGGAATATAAAGAGACTGTGTAACACCATGCATAAAGCGCATCGGATTATAGGGCGCATTTACGGCTTTTGAGAAGATTGAGTGCTTTTAGGTGCCCTTTATAGTGCGGAAAATTCAAATTCATCTTTGTAAAACGCTTTTAAAAGCATTCATCCTTATTCCCACAATGAAAATGTGATAGTTAATTTCATGAACAGAAATAAATTGGTGGTTCCAGTATAACACTGTGCTCAAGGCCAAATCGATTTGAAAAATACATAGCAATATCAAAAACTCTCTTCGTCTCATTTCTATCGCTCTTTGCCTTTCTCTCGCTCACTTTCTAGAAATGTGCTCAGTTTGTCTTTCATACCAGTGACTTTTTGGCTGCCCTATTTTCCAGAGAATACATCCTAAAGACAGCCAAGGCTCTGGTGGAGGACACCAAGCTTTTAGTATCTGGTGCTGGAGCCAGTCAGGAAAAACTAGCCCAGGCTGCCCAATCCTCTGTTTGCACCATTACCAAACTGGCTGATGTGGTCAAACTGGGAGCTGCCAGCCTTGGTTCTGAAGATCCAGAGACCCAGGTGTGTGGATGATGAAACTACGTTATGATCAAAACATAAGGAAAACAAAAGACTATAAAATGTTAAAGAATGTAACTGGAGGAAAAAAAAACCCAAAATTTTTTGGGGTGTTTACGCCACAGGTGGTCCTAATCAACGCAGTGAAAGATGTGGCCAAAGCCCTGGGCAACCTCATCAGCACCACCAAGGCTGCTGCAGGCAAACCTCATGATGATCCCAGCATGCTCCATCTTAAGAATTCTGCCAAGGTAAAAGACAAACGCACATTCACATCCACAGTTGTCAAAGGTTTAAAAGCATGCCGTGCTACTCTCTCGTGACATTCATCCTCACACCCAAAGGCAAAAGTGAAAGAAGAGAACTAAAACGGAGATTTCCACCCTCTCAGCACTAGACGGATGGATTGGATGGATAATTGTTTGAAATTTTCATCTCACGTCTCGTAATTAGGAAACATCTATATCAATAAGCAACACTTTATTTTGAGAAATCTCTTTCAGTGTTTACATTATCAAATTCTTACATTACTAGAAAATCAAAATGTCCCATCACTGGTGAGCTCTTTTTAGAGCAGGCCTGCCGGCTACTCATGTGCGTCTCGAGGGCTACCTGGTGCCAGCGGGCACCACGTTGGTGACCCGTGATCCAAAGTTTGACTTTGAATCATTAACAAGAAGGAGTCATGCCACACCAGTGATACCAATAACAGGAACGCATGACTAAGTAATATGTTACTCTTCAATGTGTGCTTTTTTTCCGTAATGACTAATCTAATGAGTTTTATTCCTAGACAAGTCATCAGACTACATTTACTCATCAGTCATAAAACATTGCTGTATCGTAATATTCAATCTCGTTGAGAAAAAGATGAGTTTCAGGTCCCTTTCACCAGCCAAGGCAGTTATAGGCAATCGCCTCTGTGTTGTAGCAATGAGTGACTCTTGACAAGTCTTCTTAACAACAAGCACATACTTTTCAGCTAAAGAGGTCACTCATGCACGCACTGTGCTAGCAACAAGACTAATCGTTAAAAAATAATAAAATAGGGGAGGACGCCTATTAGTCTTTAAAAGGCACTTAACAATCAACTCTCCATTACTGAACGTGTAAGAGAGGGGAACTCTGGTATTTACTGCTTGAATATAGTGCGGCATTGTGGGAGTCTCGGGGAGTGATATCACGTATGTGCCATGTCACGTTTTCAATGCATGTACTTCTCATCGTGTCAATACCATTGAAACATACCACATTAACAACAACGGAGTAAAGAGAGAGATTTGCATTTTCAAGCTGAAAACACAGCCAGTCCGGAGAGATTGTCTGTCAGTCTGTTTGGTTGCCTCTTCCACTAACACTTCCAATTCCTTCACTTCAAACTTCATTTTGGGCTTTTGGTGCTCTCCCATCTGTGACAACTATCAGACCTATCTAATACGCAAAACCATTTTTTTTCTTTTCTTCACAACTTTTACACCTGTTGTCAACAGCGCTTGCAATCTGGTAGAGTGAGTGACCAATTATTGTCCGCTATTTGCCATCTTAGTAGATAATGCACAATACGAGCATGCAATATACACTATTAGAGTGAACATGCAATTTACCTATTTGGGGCCTTTAATACATTTCTCAGCCCTCAGTGCGGTTAAACTCAATCCAGAAAGAAGGTTGGTTGCCTCGCCTAGTAATGATGTGGTTCATTGGAATGAAATTAAAGAGATATTTTGGTGACATGCATTCATAAGCGCTATTTTTTTTCTGCCCTTTTAATCCATACGATGATCTTTGTCCGCAACAGGTGATGGTGACTAATGTTACATCGCTCTTGAAAACGGTAAAGGCGGTTGAGGATGAAGCCACGAAGGGGACCAGAGCTTTGGAGGCCACGATTGAACACATCAGACAGGAGCTGGCTGTTAGTACTGACACATTTTTTTTTTGTGCATCTGCCATCTTTTCCCTTAATTATATCCCACCAGGCACATTGGTCATTTTTTTTTTCTCTTTTAGCAGAATACAGTTTTATCATGTTCACATTTTGTGTTTGCAACAGAACTTGACAGATCAACATAGGCTGCACATTTTTATGTACGTTACTTACGCTATGTATGTGTGAAACAACTTGTGGTCCCTACTATAGGGACCACAAGTTGTTTCACAAAACAAATAGCGGCCATTGACTATTCTGATCCTTCGCAAACATGCGTTTGCTGCTCCACGCGGTGGTTCAAACAAAGCTTCTCTGTCTTTTAGCGTGTATTTTAATTGCAGTTTTTCGCAACGTCAGATGTTTTGGAGCCACATCCCAATTTCATATTCATGAAATATAGGAGGATTGGATTCATCGTCATCATCCATGACTACGGATTTTTAATTTTATAGAATGTCCTTTTTAATGTCACATACTAATTGAAGCCATTTGTTCAATCAATGACACAGACATTCAGCAGCTCGGACCCACCAGCAACGACGACCACACCTGAGGAGTTCATTCGCATGACTAAAGGAATCACCATGGCGACGGCGAAGGCAGTGGCTGCTGGGAACTCTTGTCGCCAAGAGGACATCATTGCCACTGCTAACCTCAGCAGAAGGGCCATTGCTGACATGTTACACTCCTGCAAGGTAATTGGAAAACTCATATATACGCTGTTGATGATTTATAAAGTTAGCTAGTTTGTCTCTTGGGACAAGGCACCGATGAGTTGTCTTGTTAAACAATGGGTCTGTGAAAGATTTGTTTCTTTCATCTGTGTAACACATGTACACTCTTAACCCTTTCATGCACCCTGTAACCTGATAACATGATAAGCTGTCCACTGTAGTAACCGCTGTCCCTGAAAGGGTTAATGACCTTTTATCTCTTCAATCTGAATTGTCACTCATTAAAATGTTGCTTCTTTTCATTCCTCCTCTTAGCAAGCTGCCTACCATGCGGAGGTCAATAAAGAGGTCCGGATGAGAGCGCTGCGCTATGGAAACGAGTGTGCAACGGGATACCTGGGACTCCTGGAGCATGTACTAGTGGTAAGTTGTCATGGGAAACTCATGCCTTGATTCTGTTAGGACCAGAGGGAGAGATTTTTTTTGAGACACATCGTTCCATGATCCATTGATTTCGGAATCTGAAAGATGTTTTATTTTGAAAAATTACTGGATCCTCTGTTACATCCGTCTACAGTAAGTCACTCTTGACGCAGGTCAAGGTGAGCTTCTCGGTCACGTGATAGGTTAATGCTAAAATGAAACCCAGGAGCTACGTCTTTGGAAAGTAGATTTGGGAAGTGGAAACGGCCCAGCCAGGAGACAGAAGAGGAGCCTAAGACTTTCAAGAGAAACAAGGCTACATTTAATCGACAATATCAGGGGTCCTACTTAAAATACGGATTAATCTCAACGGGAGATTCCCACACACCAAGGCCACTCTGCATAATATGTGGCGATGGTAAATCACATTTTTCATGCAATTTGTATTTGCGAAGTGTCTTATTTTGAAGGCACGTTAAAACGTTACCATAGTGACCAGAGAGTGTTGCGGCCAGATAGGACATTCCTCGTGTCATGATTCGTGTTTATTATGATGTTTAGAAAATACCACAGGTTTCATGCAGGTCATATCATATAATTTTGTTGTATTTATCTGCCACACCTTAAAGCCCGGTCCCTGAAAATATTGTCTGACATTAAAATGGTCCGTGGGGCAAAAAAAGGTTGGGGGCCACTACTCTCCAGAGACATTTATTGCATTGACATCTTGTGCATTTTTTTCGGCAGTTCTCTGGTGTATGAATCACGTTTTTGTCAAAATCATCCCGGGGCTCAGAATTTATTTCACACATGACACAATTTTTGTCTTGCAGTAGGTCATTTGTTTAATAACGTCCTCTATTTCTTCCCCCCCCCCCACATTCTCTGCAAATGTTTTTTGAATTTAAACTTGTGGTTCATTGATATTTGTGCAAAGCCGGTGAGTATGCAACATGACTAATAAAACAAGTGTGAGTTGCATTGGTTGAAATCATCTTAGTTCATATCATAACATGTCTGTTAACAGCGTGTTTGTTGATGTCAGGCTTTTCCTGATTTTGGATGTGAAAGTTAAACGGAACTAATATAAGAAGGGAGGAGTGTTAGGGAAATTATACTAAGAAAAAGTAATCCTTGACGTTGTGAGGTCTTACACTTTGTCTCCCTTATGTGACCCGCCGTAGCAAGATGAGTTGGAATTCGATCATGTAAATTCCGAGATACAAGGCAATAATAATAAAAACATTTACCGCTTTTTCTCGATTAAGTTTGGCCTTCCCGAAATAAACACTGTGAAATGTTCAAAAATCGCATTATCTAGATGGTTCTCAACAAAGGAGTCAGTAGTTATCGCAAAATATAGCAAAACAATCGCTCATTACCTTGCCGTTGTCGCAGGTATCCATGCGGAGAATCCGCAGCATACGGCTATCAGTGGAAAGCTGACGGTTCCCTTTTGCTAATTTGTACTCATTTTAATAATTCTGAGTGATTATGAGCTAAAATTAGAGCAGGAATCTGCATTATTTTCCATAGATTATAACCATGAACTCTAGCATAGCAACATTTGCTATGCTAGAGTTCATGACCTTAACCCTTTCAGGGACAGCGGTTACTACAGTGGACAGTCTATCATGTTATCAGGTTACAGGTTCTCATAATTGATGCATGTAAAGGTTAAGGCTCTGATTGGTCTATTGCCGTTCTTTGAAGCAGCATAATGCACAAATATACACCAGCACTCTGTCGTAGCCTCGCTAGCTGCCGTACCTATGTGGCGGCCATTATAGCACGAGTGATTTTCCCTCCAAAGGCAAACGCTGACGTTGAAATGAGGCCGTAACTCGGTCATCCACATGCATGGAAGTCACAACTTTGACCCTCCTATTGGCATGCGACACAAAGGTGGCGTTTCGTACCTACCCGTTCATATTTGTGATAACGATGTGATGACTAGCGTAGCGCAATGGTTGATATAGAATTGGGAATCTGCAATCATGCTCTTTTTAACGATGCGAAAATATCATTTTTTTAACTCTGGGTCAGTGTGACTCATTTTGCTGTGGCAGGTCACTTATATTTACATGAGCACATTAATTAAAAGTCACTGACACAGTTTGTCAAATGCTTGTTTGCTTGCATTGGATCCAGTTTGATGTCTGGCCAAACAGCCTGCCTTCGCATCCAGTATTTGTTTTCATATATGTTGAATTACCGTAAATACATCTGTTCGATGATTCCATTGAAGAAATTGGAGCATGGACAGAAAGTTGACGTTGATATTTGATCAGTGGCAGTGTATACATGCAGCAAGAGTCGCTTTCAATCATTGAGTCTGTGAGTGTTAATCCAACATGTTCATATGAAGATCTTGAACCCTTTCAGGGACAACGGTGGACATCTTATCATGTTATCAGGTTACAGGTTATCATTATTGGTGCATGAAAGGGTTAAAATTCGCTCTAGGTTTTAAGGAATACAGTCCATTGAAACATGAACAGAATGTCAGTACTCGCCCATGACGGCAAAATTTTTCCTTCAACTTTGGTGTCGTCGAACGTATGTCCACAGCTATAGTTAATCCTTGAATTTTGTCTACTTCATAGAGAATCCTGCACCCTCAAAAATTTATCTTGAATCACGCAAATTAAATATTAATGAGAAGAGCAATGTAAGCAGTAGAATAAGTCCGGTACTTTAGTCATCAATTGTTTTCTCGTGAATTTATCTGTTACGGGTGATTTAAAAAGTGTTTGCAGTGCAAATTACATGTTGTTTTGTTTTTTTTCTACAAAGATGGCCTCCTCTTGTCACCTTGCTACAGACAAAATCCGTTCACAAACTGTTTGACCTTCACTTATGTTCAATTCAGTCATCTTTTACCCTGTTATTTGCAAGTTATTTTAGGTCTGCCGATTGAATCCGATCAATTTGGCTTTTTTGTTTTGATGGTAAAAATTCTCTTTGCATCCACTCGAATAAATTCAGTTTAGTAAAAAATCAATGGTCCACTGGCAGGAACTTTTTATAGATGTGATCTGAGTCCGTCCTTCTGTTCCAGACACTTGAAATGGATTGACCGCCTTGTCCACACCCAGTCGACCTGGTTCTGAAACCGGACTATCCCTGAGGGTCTCAACGTGCTGCTTAGCAACATAGCTTGTTTTTTTGTTTATCTTCTGTTACGAGCATGTGGCAGATTTTTACCCTTTCACAACAGTTACCCTCCTCACCTTGAGAGAAATGCTAAACTAAATTCACACACAAAATCGTTTAACTTGGGGTTTACAAATGTCCGTGTTGAATTTCTGATGCGTAGCAATGCTTTTGAAGCTCAAACAACAGCAGTGGTCCCAGGGACTGTTTTTATCCGAGTGTGAGAGTGTCGGTTCATTTGTGAGCTGTGTGTGAGTTTGTGTGTGAGCTGGCATGTGCGCCGGTTTGGCTTGTTGCATGCGTTCCTGTACTATTGCGTGCACACCTCTATCTTGTCATGACAACACATCTGAAAAAAACCCGAGCCGGGTAGAGGCTGAGCCAAGTTAATACTTTGCAGCTGTCAGACACTTCTCCAACTTGAATAGTTCATGTCTACCTAGGACAGTTTGAGGACACCAACTGACAGTAAAATAAATGGCCCAGTTGCAATTATAGAAACCCTGACCAGTTATGTTCACTGAATTTTTGAAATGGGTTTCCTATGGTATATGATCAATAGATTTTGTCGTTTTACCGACAATGAAAAAAAAAAAAATCAAGGGTTCGGCATACAGTATTAACGTCATCGTCAGCAGAAGCAATAAAAAAAAAAAATCAAGGGTTCAGCATACAGTATTAACGTCATTGTCAGCAGAGGCAATCGAAGCATTTTTTGTAGGGGGCAATGCACATCAGCTACATGGTTATAAAAAGTCTACATACCCCTGTTCAATTTCAGATTGAGACAATAAAAAAAAGACACTAAAAGAAATCATTTCAAATTTCTTCTTCCCAAAATGTGCTCTATAACCTGGATATACAACTCAACACAACAAAAAAATCTAATGCTGTGGTAGTTCTCAGCCAACCAATGCCTGTGCTGTGATGTGGCAAAAACATAATGTCAGAAAAAGCCCGCTAGAACAGCTAAAGTTTACTTGGGGTTAATCGGGGCCACTTGAATTGATGGCAGGTATGTGCTGACTCCCATTTAACACAAGTTGGAACGTGACTGTTTCATTGTGAACCCAGCCACATACCCAGTTACAAAAGGGAATTTACTTTTGTGCCACCACGCAATCTTTCTGTGTCCCATCTTGAAAACATTACCCAGTGTGAACATGAGGTAAAACACACAAAGCTTAAATCCAAACATCACACAGGAATGTGGTGCCAATTAAATACAAATTAAATGCTGAAAATAATTAAGGATTTGAGCAAATGACAAAGGGTGGGATGAAAGATTATAGCTAGATCAGCATTTATATGGTACATTAACTAGAATCTTGGTTTTTTTTTCATGCCCTCAATCAGATTATCCAGAAGCCCTCGCATGATATGAAGCAGCAGTTGGCCAGCTACTCCAAAAGGGTCGCAGGCTCTGTCACCGAATTGATCCAGGCTGCAGAGGCCATGAAAGGTATTGTACCCGCCACATAAAAGCGCAGTCGCTGGACAATATTGTCACTTGATTCTTTAAGTTGTCTGTTTGTCCTTTTATTCATGACTTTTTTTGTGTGTGTGAATGAGTCATCTGTATGCTTTACAAAACTATATGTGAATAATGTCTTATTAATTAACAAAGCATCTGTTGGAGAAAATAATCTCAAGCGAAGTGGCACAATTAGCTTTGGTTAGTGGCTAATGCTAATTAGCCTAGCAGCGCAACTGCTAACTCCATACAATACAATACAATACATCCTGATTTATACTGTATAGTGCTTTCACAACAGCTGCAGCTGTAAAAAAAGCGCTTAACAAAACAGTGAACATAAAGTAAAATAATAAACACAACACATAACATAAAACACAGTCGTGCACTTTGTTGTTAAAAGTAGCTGGCAGGGGGTAAATCTCCTGATACTTCGGGCCTCTGGAGTTCAGGGCAAAAAGAAAACTGTCTCCTAAGTCCCCCTGGAATGTCTGACCGCCATCAGCTCAGCAGTTTGTTGCATGGTAGAGGTCAGGCAGCAAGTCCTGTCTCTTTCAGAATGTGCCATTCTGGCTCCACTCAGCAGAAGCACGTACAAGCTCACATTACACCGCCATATTTAAAGGAGGGTTTTGCACATACTGTAGTTCTAATGGTTTTCACCATGGAAAATTTGGGAGAACACCCAGTCATGTTTGAGCAGTGTGAACAGCAGAGGGCTTACAACGCAGCCTTGACGGAAGCCGGTGCGAAGTGTGATCGAACCTGAAGTGTTAAATGTATTTAGTTCTGATTGCATAACATTCGTAGCTACAGAAGAAGGAAGGTCAAACATTTGTTTGAGAATTGGAATTTATTACATGATACTTAAAAACTTACACTTGACTATGTCAATGTATTTAAAAAAAAATAGAACTCATAAAACCAAAACAAAAAAATAAATGATATATTTTCAAAAATAAAAAGTAGCAAACCTGCTCAAAAAATCTAATTAAAATGAACTGAATTTGGAAAACAAAACTCAAAATGAAATGAATTAATGAAAAATCAAAAACGATTATAAGCCTGGTTTCAGTCCACTTTGTTTCTCCGCATATATATTACTTTTACAAGGTCCCCTGTTTGTTTTTGCATGTGTGTTTGGTTAGATGACTAATCCCAACTAATATTATAGTGTAATATAATGTGTCTTTGCGAAGTTGGTCGATGCTTGTGCCATTGTCTTCCAAAGTGCTGGAAACATTCTGAGTGTGTTGTAGGCACTGAATGGGTGGATCCTGAGGATCCTACTGTCATCGCTGAGAATGAGCTGCTTGGAGCAGCAGCAGCCATTGAAGCAGCTGCCAAGAAACTGGAGCAACTGAGACCCAGGACCAAACCTAAGGTTTCTTTTTCTTTTCTAAATAATATAGTGTGTCCACTCAGAATCAATGTCCCCCGCCTTCCACGGGACGTGGGAAAAGCTCATTTTATAAAATAACAAATAGGATATAATGACATAATGTCAGAGATTTTCTCGGACAAAGTTAAAGAAATGACTCGGCACACAGGAAAATTGTCTTTAATATCGGCGGGAGCGGATCTCTGAGAGCGAACGATGGTAGTTGCTCCGATAATCAAACACTCAGAGTCCCGCCCTCCGCGAGTTCGACATTTTATTGTAACATATGCAAAATACAAGAAAAACACTGCCCCCGATATTTGCATGCCGCACCCCCGGTCCGGCCCCTCGGTGGTGATTGGTTACCCGTTTTTAAACTTGAACCACCAGTACGTTGGCACCTTTTCTGTCGGGTCTACATCGAATTAACCTGTTGCAGACTTCGCGGATGGCCAATGTTGCCTGGGCGCGACGGGTGTTCTCAACTCGTCTTTTGTTGTTCAACCGCTGTTCCCGAATTATTCATTCCCCTTTTGTGACCGAGCTTCGCCCTCTCCCCTGTGATCGCCCACCTGCATTGACGTGCTAATTGTGGACTTCAACAGCCCTCCGGCCAAGTGGCCGGCGCCTTTGTGTACAGGCATTTGGGGGCTGCTGGATACGCACCCATACATTTAGATGTGCCCAAATTAAATGAAACTTTAAACATGATACAATTTTGCTCATAGATTCCTCTAACACATAATCTCACAAATATGGAAACGCAAAGAAATATATTCTGAAAGTTGATTTCTATCGGTTGGCTGCTCTACTTTGGGCGTTCGTCATCTTTTTCACCTTTTTTACCTTGCTTGTTTACATTCCTGAGCCTCAGTGTGTTTCTTCTTCAGTCTGAAGATGGCCATGGATGCACAATTTGTATTGATTCAGAATCAGCTGTTGGCAGTCTGTGCTAATTTCCGGCAAAACTTAATTGATAAAAAACATGAAAATCTGGCAATTCATAAAATAATTGTTTTTAAAAAATGTATCGAAAAAGTGTCAAACTGCGACAGTGTATCAAATCAACCCGAGACGTGACTATATCCTCTATTTTTGCACCCCTAAAAGATTTAGCAGTGTGTACAGTCCATGGCATGGCGGATTGTATATCTCTCATCTTGTTATTCTTGACCCCTGTGGGCAGTTGTTAACTTTCCAAATGAGGGCACCTTTTTGTTTTTAACAACTGCTTCGCACCTCATCACAGCTGTTGCACATGATGTGTTTATTGACTGTTGGTTTCCCTCTCCTTAAACAGGAAGCAGATGAGAGCTTGAACTTTGAGGAGCAAATTCTTGAGGCCGCCAAGTCTATTGCTGCAGCCACCAGCGCTCTGGTCAAAGCTGCTTCAGCAGCACAGAGGGAGCTGGTTGCTCAAGGAAAGGTAAGGCTTACCCAATACATGTCAACTATCCACAATGAAAATTCAGCTGTGGGCCCCTCACGACACAAAGCCAAGTCCATTTATTTAGAGTTTCCCCCCCTTCGATTGGATTTGCCTTAAAACATACTCCTTAAAACAGACATTTATTTAAGTGTGTTTTATCCTCAAATCTTAATCATAACTACGATGAATGAATCATCCATTGCCCAGCAACACATAAGTACAACATAATAACGACATGCCATTCTGAGCCTTTTGACACATTTACAGGTGGGAGCTATTCCAGCCAATGCAGTGGATGATGGACAGTGGTCTCAGGGTCTGATTTCTGCCGTGAGTCTTCTCCATCCAGTTTGAAATACTGTATCAAAGAATGTACTTGCCAATTTTAACCTGTCAATGCCTTTGGACTCCTTAGGCGCGAATGGTAGCTGCAGCTACCAACAATCTTTGTGAGGCTGCCAACTCAGCGGTTCAGGGACACGCAAGTGAGGAGAAGCTCATATCTTCTGCCAAGCAGGTGGCAGCCTCGACTGCTCAGCTTCTGGTGGCCTGCAAGGTCAAGGCTGACCAAGACTCCCAGACCATGAAGAGGCTTCAGGTTTGCACTGCATGCCAATGCCAACTCCAGTAATACCTAAAATGTCTTTTTTTGGAAAAAACAAAAAAAACAAAGTCAGGTCAACCGTTACAACACGCTGCCCGGAACAACTTCAAAATAAAAGCATACCGAGGCATTGATGACCATATAGGATTTTATTAGCTCAGATTTATTTTGAAGTTGGCCTTCTTACTACATTGGTGGCGTGTCACTGTCATGCATCCCCCAAAAATTGTTGCTATGCTTAGCTTTACTTCTTCGTCTTGGTAGTGTACACTTAAATAAGCAGAAAAAAATGTTTTGTTTTGGGTTTTTTTAAGTGAGGTACCTAGTTGACTTTATATTTGACTTTAATTTCATCCCACTTGGCGGCCCGGTGGCCGACTGGTTAGCACGTCGGCCTCACAGGGTTCGATTCCGGCTCCGGCCTTCCCGTGTGGAGTTTGCATGTTCTCCCCGCGCTTGCGTGGGTTTTCTCCGGGTACTCTGGTTTCCTCCCACATTCCAAAAACATGCTTGGCAGGCTAAAGGAACACTCGAAATTGTGACTGTGAGCGCAGATGGTTGTTGGTCTATGTGTGCCCTGCAATTGGCTGGCAACCAGTTCAGGGTGTACCCCGCCTACTACCCAAAGGCAGCTGGGATGGGCTCCAGCGCGCCTCGAGACCCTTGTGAGGATGAGCAGATCAGAAAATGGATGGATGGATTAATCCCACCCGAAATATGAAACATAAAGTGGATATTTATGGTGATAGTAGCAATCCAGCCATCCAGACGGTTCATTTATTACTTGTAGCAACAACGTGACCTAATCTTCAGTAAATGAATGACGAGATTTAAAAGCATCGTATCATTTCCCCAAAATAATTCTACCTCTTCCCACATCACTCCTCTGTAGACATGAGATGATAAAAATATGAGCTCCTTCGCACTGGACCATATTTACTTCTGCAAATACTGCCACGTGATGTCATACTTTGTGCGTGCGTCTCAACGTCGTGCTTTGGACACATGCCTGTCACATCATGGGCACATTCCATTCTCATTAGAAATCACATTTAGCATCATGCCCTGCTGTGTGAGCATAGCCTAGTTCAGGGGCCCCCAACCTTTTTTGTCCCACGGACCGGTTTATGTCAGACAATATTTTCAGGGACCGGCATTTAAGGTGTGGTGGAAATAATACAACAAAATAATATGGTATGAGCTGCATGAAAACTGTGGCGTTTTCGAAATATAATAATAAACACAAGGAGCGTCTAATCTGGCCGCAACACTCCGATCGCTATGGCAATGTTTAATGCCTTCAAAATACAATACACCGCAAATTCAAAGTGCATGAAAATGACGACTCACCACAGCACCGAGCTTGATTTTCTGCAACCAGACGGTCCCATCTCGGGGTAATAGGAGACAATGACACCTCAAGTGTGTGGTTTATGTCCAGTCTACTTCGTAATTTTGTTTTCGTCACCGTTGCTGCAGAAACTCCCCACCTCACACAGGTAGGATGTCGGAAATAGCAACAGTGCTATTGTGGCGATCTCACGAGTATTCAGCCATAACTTTAATCCAGTTGTCTCGAACGTACTTTTAAGGCCGCCGTCATTTGCGATCTCCAGCAGTTTTTTTACTCATTTTGCGAGCTCCTGTGTTTTGTTTTGAAGTAATCGGTCAGGTGACGGAGAAGCGTGGCTTGATGTGTGTCCAGCGTGACACAGACGGATGTAACTGAGAATCCGGTAGTTTTTTCAAAACTCTAATTGCCCCACGGGGATAATAAAGTTTTCTGAATCTGAATCTGAAAATAAAACATCTTTCGTATTCCGAAATAAATAAAATGGAATTAAGGCAAGTTCTTTCTGTGCGGCCCGGTACCAAATGCCCAGCGGACCGATACCGGTCCGCGGACCGGCGGTTGGGGACCCCTGGCCTAGTTGACTTTTTGGGCATTTTTTTTCTGAGAGAAAAAGTATTATCTAAAATATACAGTGGTGCCTTGACTTACACGTTTAATTTACACACACACACACACACACACACACACACACACACACACACACACACACACACACACACAGACGTACACGCTGTCGTACATTGGTGCCATGTGCCTTTAAATAGCATGACAGCTATTGCCGGCCACCTCTCTTTGGAGCTGTCGTTTCCCCTGTCCCGCTGTGTGCAGCAGCTGCTGGCTGCTTCAGCAAGAGGCTGTCTTGTCTCTCTTTAGCAGAGTGTACACTCAAAAAAAAAACAAAAAAAAAGTTTTGTGAAAGAAAGCAAAAATTTTGCATTGTGCATGCACTGTAAAAAAAAAAAAGTGGGTGAACTCAAAATTTTAAGGCACCGAATTTTAATTAAATTTTAAGTTGGGCAATTCAATGAAATATTTTCAGTTTTTTTCTGTTGTGAAAATTGTCGCATTTCACAACAAAGAGTTTACAGAACTGTTGGCCTTTGTCTTGTTCCCCCCACTTTAAAAGAAGGGAGAAAAACTGGGCAAACAACTTGTTAGTTAGCTAGCTTATTTGTTGTGCTGACATTGTTGTCATAAATATTATAATATATATTTTAAAGTTGTCCCAACTTAAATATTGTTTTTGCCCCCCAAAATACAATTTTTTACAGTGTGGATGTCAGGAATTGCAGTTCATGAAACCAAGCACGATTTGTTGTAAAACCTCTTTGTAAACCAATTTGTTCTTCAATCGAGGTTCCATCACAATTAGTACTTTTTTTTTTCTTTTTTCATTATGCTGGAGGCGGGGCACTTATAAATCAAGGTACCACTGACTGAACTGTCAAACTGAAACTGTGGATATTTCCAAGACATTGAAAGTGCAGCAATCACCTGTCATAGTGAACACCACTAAATGTTATATTTATTTATGACTGTGTATCTTAACTGAGAGCACATCAGTCAGTCCCAGCCGGCTCGTGTTCTCTGATCCAATAAGCAGTGGCTTATCCCCTCCTCTTCTGGGCCTGCAGCTGCCACCACAGTAATTCCCATACATTTATGTTCAGGGGTCGGGGGGGGGGGGGTCTTGGAAACTATCCACCAGTCAACCAATGGCACCCAGAACTGGAAACATTAGCCCTGACCTATGTTTACACTCTTAGCATCTTGTCTCTTCCCTTTGCAATGATGCTTTTTGAAACATCTCCCCCATCTTTTAAGGCTGTCATGTGAAACGGTTTACATAAAACGAAATTTTTTGTTGTTTGTTTTTGTAAATTACTACATTGTGTGCAATTTATTTACGATGAATCAAAAGTTACAGAGCAGTGTGAGGGCCAATGGGCGACAGAATTGCATGGTATGGTAGAACTGGCCTGGTGTGATTGTGAGCATGAAATAAAATGTGAATTATATCCTGGATGGGAGCGAAGTACGTAAATATATGTTTTAAAATGTGATCGTTTTGTGTAGTGAGGCATTTATGGAATCAGTTATGACATCAGTTTTGAGGTAGGACTCCGATCATAACCGATTGCTTCAGTGTAGGCCGACAGTTGTTGAAAGTTCACGTCAAGGCTCTGATTCACAGTAGCATTCCAATCAAAGATAAACTAGTTGGATGATTGTATAACGTTTTTGTGATTGTGTCATCTACTACTGCGCTCAGCATCTGCTCCAGCCCACAGAGCCACAAAAGGAGAGAAAGCTACTCTTCCCTGACCAATGAGAGAAATGTTTGGCTTTGTGTTGCACTACACCAGCCCACATGTTTTCCTTTTACAGAAATTTCCAGGCACCACCAAAAAAAAACCCAAAAAAAAACATTGTTATGGTTTTCAGATCTACTGTAAGAGCACTCATGGTTGCTTCCTTTCCCTTTAAGGAGTTGCTGCTCACAACAGACCAAGTCATGCGCTCATTTCCCTGAAAATATGTCATCATCGAAACAGATGAATGCCTTCAGTTAAAGTGAACGTTACGAGAGATATGATTTGTTTGTTTTTTTTTAGGTGCTACGTGTATGCACTTTTTCTCAACTGATGTCTGTGTTTCACTAGGCTGCTGGAAATGCTGTGAAGAGAGCTTCGGATAACCTGGTGAAGGCGGCACAGAAAGCGGCGTTTGATGCTCAGGATGACCAAGCAGTGGTGGTCAAGAGCAAGATGGTGGGAGGTATCGCTCAGGTGAGTCGAACCGAAGACATTCCAGTCATTCACATTGATGATCGCATGTAGGTATGAACTGCCACAGGAATGTTGAATTAAGCAGAGCACAGGCATACTTTATTAGTGGATGCATTTAGCCATCGTACATGTTTATTTGTTTATTGCAATATTTTTGGAGGAAGGAAACATAAAGTTAGTAACGCCTCTTGCATTTCAAACGAACTGTCAACGGTTCCCACTACTGCAGCGCTCATCAATCCCCAGACCACGACACTGCCGCCACCACGACTGACTGTAGGCAAGACACAGTTGTTGTCGTAATCCTCACCTGGTTGTCATCACACATGCTTGACGTCATCTGAATCAATTAATTTTCTCAGTCTCATCATATCACCGGACAGAGTTCCCGTAATGCATATTATTCCAAATAAACAATCTAGTATGTTAACTGATATTCGGTTATCGTCAGGTCCTTATTTTCATCAGTAAAACAAAAACACATTGTCTTGTCCAGGGAAACCAAGACAAGTATCACAAAAAATAACGAGATTTATTTGCGAAAGAAAAAAAACATGGGGAGACACCATTCACAGATCTGCGAACGGAGCCTCCAATGGTACGAACATTTAGTTACATTTTAGCACTGATAGATGTCAAATTCCAATTACAAATCCCCTCTTTTGTTCCTAAGGATCAACAAAGAGGGAAAAATAACCAAAAGCACAATCCGATATGCAACGAGAGAGGTTCCCCAAATTAACATCAGACTGAAGAGGCCGTGTGGTTTGAAAACAGTCACCATAAAGAGGTCGGAAGGGGATTCCAGGCATTTCCAGCCGTTTTATCAACATGGGTCTTTGTTAGGGGGTGAAGTACACACAGGACGGAGGAGTTGTCCAATGGGCGAGGTTAAATAAGCAATGCATCAGTGTTGATGTGACAGCGCGACAAGGATTTGGGAAATGTTAGGAAAAGACCCGGGTGAGGAGACGGGATGGGTAGCGTTTAACTCTGTGGGGCCGACTGAGGAGATGGTTTGGACTAGTATTTATTCGGTGGATATTTTCAGCACAACAAAGATGTTTTGGTGGGTCTACAAAGTGTACCGACATAATGTGTTGCAGATCATCGCTGCCCAAGAGGAGATGCTTCGCAAGGAAAGGGAGCTGGATGAGGCCAGGAAGAGGCTGGCCATGATCAGGCAGCAGCAGTACAAATTTCTACCCTCAGAGCTGCGAGAAGATGGTCAGGAACAGTGAGAGAGTCGGTGGTACAATGGTGATTCATGGAATGCTCAGGACCTTCACCCAGCAACATGGAGAGAAAGTGGGGAGGTGGGGGAGCTAATTCCGCAGCAATTATACTGAATTTGTCCCTCTAGGTCATTTTCAAAGTGAAATGTGCTATAATACCCGTGTTTTACTTTGATACAGAAATAGATGTATATGCCTTAAATCCTTACAAGTTATGTATGCTTTTTGATATGTACTGATTGATTATTTACAAAATATAGGGCTCACTTTATAGTTCTTTTTTTTCTAATTGTGTGGTCTACATTTTGGAAATGCCATATGCCTTCATAACTCGAATTTAGCATTTAGACAGTTGAAGGTAAGCACAATTTTATGCTTTACCCCGAAATTTCTATGCAAAGGTTATGTGACAAAAAAAAAAGTGGCTCAGTGTATAACTGTGTCATAAGCACATGACAATATTTGAATTGATGGTTAATGTTTTTAAAATGAAAGCAGTGACATTGCAATGGAAGTGTGGGGGGACAAAAATATATTTTTTACAGATTTAGCAATTTATTAGCTATTTGACTATCATTCGTGTTTTACGGCTAGTTTTTGAAATTGAACAAGGACAGTATTTAGTCTTGGATTATATTTGAGAGAGCAGTCAAAAACCAAGAGGCTTGATATTTAACATTTGTATTCACTGTATTTGGATGTGAAATGATTAATTGAACCCTTGCCAAAGTATTTTGTCTGATGCAGAACTAATAACAGTCTACTGTCGGGGATCCCCATCGCAGTACAGTTTACGGATGTCTATCTATGCATTATTTTGAAGTGACATCATTATTTTCCCTTTACTAAGTCCCGAATGTTAAATCACAATTTTTTTTTCCCCTAGTGTATAATTGTTTTTCAAAGTGCCTTTCTATTGAATGTATCAAATAATTAAATACATTCTCTGATGCCTGTCATTTATCCTCCAACGCACTTAACTCACATCACTAAGGTAACAGAGCATCATATAAACTCACCATTGAAATAATATTTGGCACAGCTACAGTAGATTGCTGACTTAAAAAATCTGTCATTTTCAAAAGCCATTATTTCACATTGTGAAGTATAATGCTGGTGTCAAACAGTAGCACATCGCGCTGTACTGAAGCTATGTATATGCATTAAAGCCAGTTTTCATTGGAGCTCTTCATTTCTATTTTCCTGTCTTCAGAGTCATTTCTGTATTACATATGTCCTTTGTGCATTGTTGGGTATACACCCTATATAGTGGATATCAATAGTCTACACACCCATGTGCGAATATCAGGTTTTTGTGGTAAAACTGAACCCCTCAAAAAATGTCACCTTTAATGTAATGTATAACCGATATAACCTGGGGAAGTAAAATTCAATGAGAGGTTTCCCAATTGTGCACCCTCCTAACACTGTATTTGGATGCAGTCGGCTGTGTTCAGAAGGAACCCATCATATTCAAACTCATGATAAATGGGGCTCAGCACACACTCGTCACCCTTTAAAGCTCAGCCTCCATTTAACCCTTTATGTACAAATAAGGATAACCCGATAAACTGTCCACTGTAGTAACCGCTGTCCCTGAAAGGGTTAAAGTTCTGATGTTCTAGTACACTTTTCCTGCTTTTTTTTCTTTACACACACACACACACACACACACACACACACACACACACATAAAGAAGTTGTATTTGTCCCACTCGGACTGTACCAGTTGCGACCTCACAGTGTCCCAGGCAAATTTAAATGGCAAAAATGGCTAAGGGGAAAAATTGTTTTTTTTTCTACTTTTTTTTTTTCTCAAAACAAATTTTGACCCGCCTTCATTACTTGCTTAATTTTAATAAATAAAGAAATTATCGTATAAGCATTTCATACATGTCACCAAATAACTTCATGCAGGGAGATTGCAGCATATCTTCACACGGTCAGTACAAATCACAGTGTTATGTGAAGTTATGTTAAATAACTAAATTAATGTCAGAATAAATAGAGACATATTTTTACAGTCGTGTAAACTATGTAATTGATTTTCATGGTCTGTCTCTCCATGGTGGTTGGCATTGTCAAGTGATGTGAGGGGGGGATATATTTTTTTCTCCGACTTCGCAACTTGGGCCAGCCAGTTTGAGTGCTCGTTTGGGTGCTCTTTTCCTGGTTAGAGTTCCGAAAATCTCAACTTCCTACCTTGCTGGATTGGAGCATTTGGCTCCAAATGTAGCGGGGCTTAAATGTTCTCTTTTACTGATGCTGTCAGCTTCTTGGCAAATTTTTTTCTCATGTTTTCATAACTTTTGGATGTCCAAAAATTACACCAAACATCCCGTTCCGGTGCATTTTCACTCATGTGGTCCCCAAGTTCACTGGGGCTAGGGACGTATACTGTGCTTGAGTGCAGCGCTAATATAACTTTAGGAGCTCTATTTTTGTGACCGGTGCAGATTCGTCATGGCATGCAGCATTAATCTGCACAGTGGCAGTTTAAGATGGGTGTCAGTAACTTCACAGATGTGTGCAAGCCAGCATATTTTAAAAAGGGTGGTTTGCACCGATGTGGGCATGAACACAACCTGCGCCAGTATTTAGACGCGGCCCAAACAGGTGTGAGATTTGATCGATTGTGTGAGCCACTGTGCCCAAGCACGATACGAATTTTATACAGTATGTGTGGGATATTCTTTCCGACTAAAGATGGATGCCAAACTAAGATTGCAGCACAGCAGTGTTTTACCACCAAAGAGCTCTCCCTTAAGGGTACCTGAGCAGTTTCAGGCGGCAAAATTTGCCAATCCAAACCACAGCTGGACCGATTTTATGACCAATATTTTTAACTGCAGCTGTCCTTCAGCCTGCCGCATTCTGGTCTGCAGGCCAAATCCTTCCACACTGAGCTCGACTGCCATTTTAAGGTTTCAAGTCCATCCGAGTACTATTTCATACGATGTATCCCAAAGCTGAGCTGCTACTCTAACCCAAATTATATATGTACATTAAAGTTGTACTTGACTTGACTAGACTTGTAAGAATATCCACATATAATTTGGTGCAATTGGAAAATTCAAACCTGAACTTGCATTCATATTTGTTAACTAGCTAACTAAATAGAATCTGTTTGATTAGCATACACAAATTCATTCAGTGTTATTACTTTCTGTAAGATGTTCATTCTTTCTCATGTTGGTGCAGACGTGTGAAATGATACTCATAATTGGAGAAAAATAATATACTGTGGCCCGAGGCAGACTAGACAGGATCCAGCGTCACGTGCATCAAATGGACATCTGTCACTGGCCTAATATGGGCAAGGTCCACAGGCGGCCCTACAGTGGAAAAAGTGTGGGGGGCTCACTCAGTTGGATTTCCATCTTCAAGATTTCCACCTCGCGGACTCTCCTGTCCTCGCTTGTTCCCATCACGCCGCGCTGAGTCCGTTTCTGTTCGACTAACCGCGCCACACAACCGGAGGAAACATGGAGGCCATCAAGAAGAAAATGCAGATGCTGAAGCTGGACAAGGAGAACGCCATAGACCGGGCAGAGCAGGCCGAGGGGGACAAAAAAGGAGCAGAGGACAAATGCAAACAGGTGATGATCCCGCCATCCTATTCCTCACTCAAGCCCTTTCATGAAAGTCACATACACTTTATATCCAGTTTTTGGGGGTTTTTTTGCCTCACTCGGGTGATTACAGTTTTCATTTCGGTTCTCTATGGGCAATTTTAGAAAAAATGCATTTTGTGCTGACAAAGCTATAAGAAGCAAAGTCGATGGAATAAAGAAAGTGGATGAATGGTGATGGTGGAAGATTGATGTTCATTCGCCATCGTTTGCTTTCAAAATGAAGTGAACTGAATACTTAACGTAGGTGCATGTGAAACAAGCAATACTCTATGTATCGTTTGGATACTGGAAATGCTCAAGGACAATGTGACACTGTGGGGAAAAACTCCAAACAATCTGACAGAGCTCTGTAAAAATATTATTTCCACGTCAAGCCCTCGAATTCTCAGTAAATGCATTACTTAGAAAATAAAGTCAATGTATTGCGGCTCTTACATGTATTGTGAATAAGCTTGAGACTGAACCATTAAATACGTTGTTGTTTGAAATGCTAATGCTTGCGAGCCTGTGCTGTTGTGTTTACGGTAATGAGTAACAGTAATAAGCTCCTAATTATTCTATACAGCCAACAGCCTTTCATTGCATATATTTAACCCTTTCATGCACATAATGATAACCTGTAACCTGATAACACGATAAGCTGTCCACTGTAGTAACCGTTATCCCTGAAAGGGTTCAAATGCATGAGAACTGAATTATTTTTACACAGCACATTTGCCCACTTTCGGTCATCGTGTTTTATTAATGTGGATGAGCCGCTCTCTGCCATTTGTAGCCGGATGGTGTAACAAAAAGAATTGCGTGCTGAGCTACAAATAGACATCAACGATTCCTCGGTGCAAACTTTTCACATAGCAATTGTCCTCCGAGGATCCCAGCACTTAGTGATCACAATCGCATAACAATCCTTCCTTGATGAAGGCATTTCTATTTATGTCCAGTCATTCATTTCAAGGTTTATCCGGCCCGGCCAGGGTCATCACAGTTAGCTGGAGCCGATCCTGTTTGACAGGGGTACAACCTGGACTAATATTTAGTGTCTTCAGATAATTAATTCATGTGTTTTCTGAAGCCTCAGTGAGACAATGCAAAATTTGGGGCCTCGGTTGAGATTAAACCTAAATATTTGCTGCCTTCTACTTGTGTTTCTATCTGAAGACTCTAAGATTCTTTGAATTGTTGCTCTATGGCAGTGCTTCGCAAAGTGTGGTGCTAGTACCACTCGTGGTAATCGGACTCATTCTCATGGTACCTTGAAAGAATCACTTCTCAAGTCCAGTTCAGTTGTATTTGAACTTTTTAGTCAAATGTTCCTACATTTAGGTGCAGTGTTAATTTGCAAACCGCGTATAATGTTACAGTGACTTAAAAAGTATCTTTTTTTTTAAGAACACTTAGACCCGCTATGCTGCTGTATTTTAATGATGGCGTGCTAAGTATCATGTTAGGTGGCTTATTTGGTGTAAAAGGTTTGAGAAGTGCTACTCGATGGAAACATTCTGAGAGTTTGGGGGTGGGTTTACAACAATGGCGGCCGCTGCAAGATCAGGATTGCAGGCTATTTGTGACTGGGCAGCCTTACATGGCGACAGGCTGCAAAAGACAAATGGAACATCCTGGAGACATTCTAGTGGCGCCATCTTCCCCATTTACCATCAGTTCTCATGCTGTTGCAATTGGTCTATGCTTAAAAGTTTGGAAAAAAAAAAATTGAGTCATAACCTTTTTGAACTGTTAAAGCCGGAGTCAGGTCAAAGATTTTCTTTGGAATAATGTCTTCTATGTGCACCCTCTACTCTGTATTAATATTGCGTTTGTGGAATGAGAATTAAGAAGACTAATCCATGGCTCACCCGTTTTGGTCACATGACATTCACAAGGGGGGACAGTGGACACTTTGACGTTAATTTCGGTTGACAGCAGGCGGCAGTACTGCAGAAAATGTCAGCCTCATTGATTGGCTGAAAACAGGTGGATTAGACTTCCTAATTCTTGTTTGACAAACACAGTATTAATTGGAACACCGTGTTTATGAGTAATGGAGGCACACGGGAAATCTTGTAGCAAAGAACATTTTTGACTCGACATTCGCTTTACCCAACACGAGAATTAAGCTAACTACTGCAAAAAGCTAATTTACTAATTATTGTAACTGGAAAAAACATATCGAAATACCATTTTACAAATGTAGGGAGTGAGAATAAGAAGTTGTCCGAAAAATAAATACGCAAATTCAGCCATCCCACCTCCATCACCTTTCACATGACCCCCACAATAAGTGACCGCCACGATATAAAAAAAAAAATCCTATTTAATTACTCCCTCCAAATCTTAAAGCATATTTTAAAGGTCTTTAAACACACTTTTATGATAATAATACACAGAAAACACATTTAAACAATATATTGAGAGACAGTAAGAACAATGGGTAAAACAAAAATATTTTTTACAGTACAAAAACAAATCACGTTTTCTCCAAGCCATTACATTTTACATGTCATAAAACAATCATGCCCCAAGGTGTATATTTAAAAAAGGAACCTCCAGCT